TCTGGGCATGGTGACAGATGCCTAAACCTGGGTACTGGGGCAAGGTTGCGGGGGAGTGGGGCAGAGGCAGGTGGATCTCTGTGAGCTCAAAGTCAGCCTGGTCGGCAAAGTGAGTTCCAGGACAAGCTGAGGCTGTCATATAGAAAACCCTTTTATAAACACAAAAATCAAAGCAAATAAATAAGCAAAAATCAAAGCCCCACCCCCAGTGACACACCTCCTCCATTAGACCACTCCTTCTAATCCTTCCCAACCAGTTCCACCAACTGTAGACTAAGCATTCAACTATTCGAGCTGCAGGGGCCATTCTCATTTAAATCACCACACCCACCTGTTGGCATGTGGCTTTTGTTGAACACATGCACGCATTGAGTGTGTCCTGAGGAGTGGACTTGGGGTCATGGGGTGTGTGCATGTTCAATCTTGGCAGCTGTGTCCAAACGCATATCCTGACACATGTCCATTTTTCCTTTGCTATGGATTGAATATATGTGTCCCCCAATTCATATGCTCATGGTGTCTCCAAATGGGGCCTTTGCAAGGTAACTAGGCCAGGAGGGTGGAGCCCTCACCATGGAGTTAGTGCCCTTAAAAAGGCAGAGAGAACTGAGTTTCTGCCTCTTTGTTGTCTATCTAGGATGTTAGGATACCATGAAAGGACAAACGACTTTCAACTAGGAATTCACCCTCATGGGGTACTGGATCGGTCATGACCTTAATCTTGACCGCCATCCTTTCCAACTGTGAGAAATATTTGCTCATTTCTTAAGCCACCTAGGCTGGTAATTCTTTTAGTGCAGCCTCTGCTGGCTGGACCAGCTCCTATCAGCAGTGCGGGGCTTCCTAATCACTCAACAGTTGTTTTGCGTTGACTCTAAGCAGCAGTAGGGTAACTTTCAGGGCCCTGATATCCCTAGGAAGCCAGTTGAGGGAGAGGGTGGCATTGAAAGAAAGCTAGCCTTGATTGGGTCTGGCTGCGACGGGAACAGGCGAGAGCATCCATCTGCAGCAGCCCACCCATGCCTGGGGTTTCTGCAGCAGAGGCAATGCTTACGGCCCCCCGAGATCACTCAAGATGAGGAACACCTTCTCAAAGGAAAGCAGAGAAGGGAGCCTTGGATTCTTTAGTGGTCCCAGGTGGAAAGTCATTTTCTTCTGGCTCATAAGGCAGCCATCTGTTCCGCTGTGTTTTACTAGCTGCGTTCCTCAGGGGGCCAGGAGAGACAGGCCCAGGTGGGCATGCTGCAGGGGATTGATGCTCCGGGCTCCAGCAGAAACCCACAATGCTTTTACCTTCCCAGCACACTGGCCTGATACAGACTTCCAAATGCAGTGGGCAAAAGGAGATGCCAAACCCGCAGTCGGGGGACAGCTAAACAACTCAAGAATCTTCCTTCTGCTGGGCCAGGATGTAGGCACATAGGTGAGGTGGCTCATGTCTGTAACTCTAGCACTTTAGGCTGAGGCAGGAGGATCGATGACATTGCTGCCTATGAAGATTGGATTTGCCTCAAGGAACTCCCCATCCCTAATCAGCAGGAAGGAGCCTATTTCCCCCTCTACACTGCCCCCTTCCTCCTCTAATTTTCTATCTCCTACCTGGTGTTGGGGTATTGAAAGGGATTGTGCTGGAGAAGGATGATATGTATAAGAACCCAACAAAATAGATTTAAAAATATGCCACCACTCAGCTTTGGCTCCCAAATTCGTGGAATACCCCGGATGGTTTCTAGGCATTGGAACCCAAGGACCTGGGTGATATCTTGGCCTCCCAGTATCACCAGGGTGTCTTCTGGCCTCCAAGGGAGGTCAGAAAGTAATTGATGACTCTGGCCAAACTCCCAGGAATAACTGTTGGGCTGAGAGACATCCCTCTATTTTCCTAGAAGAAGGGTTTTTTTTCAAGCTGTCTTCATCCCCAGACTAGGATCCACAGAATCCAGTGACTTAATCGAGTATAAACTCCTTCATAATTTTCCACCTGAGAATGGCCTCAAGCCACATGTTGCAGGGGCTTTTAAGAACAAACCTGTAAGGCCACTGTGCTTTCCCATGAGGCTTTGTTATTTCCCAAGAACTACAACTCCCACCATTCCAGGAAGTTACCTGGTTCCTGAGCAGGTGACTCTTACAGGTTAATTTTGGGCATTACAGATGACGTGTGTAGATCCTACACAAACACGATGCTGCTTCATACAAGAAACCTGAGCAGCTGCAGAGTTTGGTATTTAAAGAGATGGAGGTCCTTGGAAACCATCCTTTACGGACCTCTGTGATGGTTAATCCTTACCATCAAGTTGACTAGATTTAGAATCACCTAAAGAGAGAGCACTGACTGAACCGGGAAGACCATCCCTAGATATGAGCAGTATGCTGGGTGCCATGATGAGAAAAAAGGGAGAGAAAATTAACTGAGTATTGGTTAGTTTTTTGTTGTTGTTGTTGTTGTTGTTTGTTTGTCAGTGTGACACAAGCTGCAGTCATCCGGGACCAGCAAACTTCAACTGAGGCACTGTCTCCACTGAACTGGCCTGTGGGCAAGTCTGTGTAGGGGGACGTTTTCTTGATTGGTGAAGGATGTGTGTGACCCCATGCCTGGGGCAGGTGATGCTAGCCCAGCAAGCTATGGGGAGCAAGCCAGTGAACAGTGTATTTCCATGGTCTCTGCTTTGGTTCCTTTCTCCCAGTTCTTACCTTGGGCCCCTGTCTTGACTTTCCTTCATGGACTGCGGTCAGAATACGTAAGCCAAATTAAGCCTTTTCTCCCCAAGTTACTTTTGGTCGTGGCATTTTATCACAGCAATGGGAAGCAAGCTGAGAACCAGTTTTCTCCTCAATTCTGCTTCTTGGCATCCAAGACAGGAGCTGCTCAGCTCTGCCATGTACAGACTGACAGACTTGACAGTGGCCGTAGGCAAAATGAGCATTTCCTCCATCCTAAGCAGTTACCAGTTATTTGGTCCTAGTGACAACAAAAGAAACACGGCTACTTTTACAGAGGGAACGCCCGGGCAGGGGAGAAATCTGCTGAGGGCTGCTCTATGGGGCCTTGAACTGCAGTCAGTGTGGAGGCTTGCTCAAGCCTGGTATAGGTTGCCCTTGCTTTCCCCTCTTGCTTTCCACTCTCCTCTATACTTCCTGGGATCATCCTTCAAACACACAACTCAGGCTTTCCCTTTGTCTTGGGGTCTGCCTCTGGGAAGCCCAGGACAGCACAGGTGACAACCACATCTGCCATTGGCAGGACTTGGCTGTGCCCTGGGCACTCATGGGAGCTTGACATGAGCCTCAAGGTCTGTTGTCACCTTGGCAGGGAATGAGCTGTTCCCAGCCTCATTTGACAGGTGAGAACAAGGAGGCTTAGAGAAGCTTGGCCCAAGGCCCCGGGCAGGCCAGTTGCTATCCAGACTGACCCTTCCCTGGAGACCCAAAGCAGTGCTTTCAGAGGTGAGGGTGGAGCTGACTCTGTGTAGCCTGGTCCCTCTCAGCCAAGAAAGACTAAGTCTTCATTGTGGCTAACTATCCTTCTGACGGGACAGGGAGCACAGGTCCCCTTTCTATTCTGTAAGGACACAGGATACTTCATCTGGTAGAAATAGCTTGAATACACCCTGAGTGTTTTCTTGCTGAGTTAAGCCCCAGCCTGAGTGGCATTTGGAGGGACACTAGATTGATGCTAGCAGATACCAACCAAACTCAGCATCGTTGGGAGTGTCTGCTCTCTCCCTGAAGCCCTCGCAGCTGACAAGAAAAGGGATGTGGCCAAGGTCCAGCCTTGGTGACCACAGCTGGGGCTGAAAAGCCAGGACTGGCTGAGGCTAGACCAGTGGGGAGGGTGCAGCTAAAAGGTTCAGCCAGAGTCCTAATTAGGGAGAAGTTGTGGAGAGAAGAGGGAGGCATGACACCATGAATCTAAGGGACTAAGAGGTACACCTGAGCAGAGGGGCAAGACTCAGCTCTGAGATGACTGGTTGCCTTTGTTTCCTGTCCCCTATGACCTGCTGGCTGGAGAGGAGGTATAAAATGGTTTATTTCTCCTGCATATTACCTGTCACCTTCTTGGGTAATCAGCCCCCCTGAATAATACTGCAACTCGAAGACTCAATGCCTGTGTCTGCTTACTGGCACTAGAGGCAGTAGGGACTCCAGAATTCTGGTTCCGCTTGTACAAATATGACCTAATGGTGTGACCGTCCAGCCCGAGGATGCGATGTGATTGCTGTCACCGTTATCTTCGTGGACAAGTAGTGCGGGGAGGGAGTGACCTGCCCAGTGCCACAGGAAGGAGCCTGAGCCCCTCCCGCTCTTTACAGAGATGGCAAAGAGATAGGGAGGAGGAGAAGCCATGTGTCACCCTACCACCAGCCCGTGACAGCACAGCCTCCAGTCTCAGAGCCCATCTCTGTCATACAAGGAGTAAATGGGTCTATTCCCCATGAGTTATCTGCTAGCCGGCAGCGTTATCCATCTGCTCATTAACACAATTAACAAAAACCAACTCCAATGAGCCTTCTGATTCCCCGCCTGGGGTCCTAACTACATAACAAGGAAATGACTCTTTATTAAGTCTGATCAAAGGCTTATTGTTCAGTAGTTAGAAATCATGGCCTCTCCTCGAAGGCATGTGGCTCGTGAAAAACAGTTAGATGAGCTTTTGATTTGGGTCCAACCAAAACCTTCCTTGGATCCATTTCTTGCCCACTTGTGCTGGCCTTGATGGGAACAGCAGTGAGGGCCTGTCGGTTTTGGTGCTGGGTCTGCTGTGGGCAGCAAGCAGGAAGCAAGGAAGCGATACCTGTGGAAATGAGGCCAGGAACCTTGACCAGATAAAAGGCCTTTGTGTGATGAACACCACACCAAATGCTGGGGAAGGGTGTGTCTTGTGGTCTCCAAAAAGGGAGGAAGGGAGGCCAAGGTCAGCCTTAGAGACCACGGCCGGGGCAGAGCATCTAAAACTGGCTGAAATCAGATGGGGGAGCAATAAAGAGGTTCAGCTGGAGTGTCATGCCAATCTATAAATATTTATTGAGGGCCTAGTCAGTGCTAGCGCTCTGTTAGACATGAAGATCAGATGGGGAATTGAAAACCATGGTGCCTGTTCTTAAAGCTATCCCAGGTTAGTCTGGGGGAGAGGCCCTTCCTGGAGAAGAGAGTCAAGCCCAGGTCAAGAGGGTGCGCTGGTGAATCGGACTGTGGGGGCAGGGTCCACCAGAGCCAGGAATAGAGACATCTTGGTATTTTAAGACTCTCCAGAGATGTGCTGCACATCTGGAATTACAGCACATCTGGAATGGCAAGTCAAGCTGTGTCCTCCGAGGCCCATCTTCTTTTCCTCAGACTCTTATGTACTGGACATTGGCACCCAGGTATAGGAAGTCCTAGGGAGTGGAAAACAGTAAAGAGATTCTTCTAAGCCAGGAGCCAGACATGTGAGGAACACCTGCAGTCCCAGCCCTCGGGAGACTGAGGCAGGAAGATCACAAATTTGAGGCCAGACCTTGTTAGGAGAGAGGGGGAGAAAGAGAGAGAGAGAACAGAGAAGGAGGGCGAGGAAAGGAAAGACAGGCAAGTGAATATGACTCCCTTACTCCAAGAAGGTACCTGCTGTGGAGAACACAAGCTCTGCTGGAAGCAAGAGCTCTCCAGCTTTGGTCCCCCGCTCTCCTCTGTAGCCTGTGCCTGCTCCTTTCTCCCAGATGACACCCTATCTGTCATTCCCACGCTGAGGCTCCTGGCAGGCCCTAGTAACTGTCCTTTGTGTCACCTAAATTTTTTCTCCTTTAAGGGACATGGATTCTTGAGTTCCTGGGCTTCACTTTCTTAGGTTTCCATCATCTAGAGGGCTGAGACCTCAGCACTACCAGTGATCTACCATTGCCTTTGGTGGTCAAAGGGCCATCGTTGACCTAAAAATTGTAATGAATTTGATAATGTCTGATAAATCTTGTTTATAGTCACTTTTCAGGGCCCACATGCTGAACTAAAAGCTTCCATACTTGGCCCCTGACTTTCACAAAAACTCTGAGTAGCTTGAGCTATAGCCCACGTATAGAGGAGAGACCCGCGGGCCAGCTGTGTGTGGTCACCTAGCCTTTGCTGTAAGCGGCGGTTGCATGGATATTAACCACGGACCACAGCATCTCCAATGAGGCTTACACGTTCTGCCAGCCCTGTTATCTCACCTTGGAGATGCTGCTTAGGGAGCTAACTGGGACTCAGGATGCAGATTACATATATATATATATATATATATATATATATATATATATATATATATATATACATACATACAGACACATATATACATACATATGTATACACACACACACACACACATATATATATATATATATATAATTTTTTTTTTTTAAGGAAACGAAACAAATCTTGATGCTAAGAGGACAGGTGTCAGATGTGAGGTCACTGACCGCAGTTGCCTCGTGGTAGCTGTGTCACATATTTTAACTCCAGGGACCACTCTGTCCCCATGAGTCTTCTCAGCTGCAGCACTGAACTGGGCCCCCCTCTGAGTAGTGGCCGCCAGACAGCCGGCTGCCCGTCTCCCAACTCTGATACCCCTAGAGCCCCACTGGACTGACTGACCTTGTAGATCTGGAGGTCAAGGTCCTGGAGCTGGATTCTCCTTGGCAGAGGGAGGGGGAAGCCCTTGGCCAGCTCATCTGTGGATTGACAGCATCATTGAAGAGACGTGTTGACGACTGACAGCAGCAGGCAAAATTTTTACCAAAGGCTCAGCTCTCTATGTACTCCTGATACAGGCGTGTGTTCCCTCTCAGTGACTGCCTAAGACTGTGAGGTAGGTGTTATCTCTATTCCCATTTTACAGATCTAGAAACTGAGGCACAGAGTGGCCAAGTAACTTGTTTTATGTTCCAAAGCCAGAAGATGGCAGATTCCAACCTTGCATGACTGGCAGGGCACCTAAGCCACTAGATGTGGTCTAGACATGGTCTGGTGGAGGAAATGGCAGGTCCAGGGTTTGGTGAGAGTGTGATAAAGAGCAGCGGGCAGCTCTCTGGCCTCCACCACTTGCTTCCTGTTGTAGCCCACTGAAGCCATAAATCATGAAACTGGGCTCGGGTCTTAGGTTTTATTTGATGAGGGAGTTGGGTAGTTGGAAAATGCCTGTGCTGGGTGGTTGAGCTGTGCTGCTATGACTCAACCCCTGGGCTTTCACCCGCCACCTCAGGAAGTGTGGCCACTTCCGAAGTCTCTCCTTCCCCATAAGGGGTTCACTGTGCATCAGAGAACTGTTCCGACCCCCAGATCCCCACGGGAGCCCTGGAAGAACATAAGGCTGCCTTCAATACACCCACCCCACTGCAGCCATCGAAGTTCCAAGAAACGACATCCCTGGCCCACTCAACTCTCAGGAGACCCTGGTTTCCAACACAGCGGCAAACACTCTCTCCCCAGAAGTGAGATCTACTCGAGACCTGGAAAGGCCTCGAGCCATTCTTACCATTAGCATCAGGGTAGAGGGTGTTGAGAAGATAGTAGTTGAGGAACGCCTGGAACAGGTTCACCTGGGGGAGAAAAGAAGAGGTGCACAGTGACCCTGTGGCCATCTTGTGCCCTGGCACATAGTTACGTGTGGTTTGCCCCAGCCTGTGTGGTAGTGGTGGAGCTGATTGCAAATCTTTGCTCCAGCACTCAGGAGGCAGAGGCAGGCGCATCTTTGTGAGTTTGAGGCCAGCCTGGTCTACAGAGTGAGTTCCAGGACAGCTATGGCTGCATAGTGAGGCCCTGTCTTGAAATGAAACAAAACACATAACTAACCTCAATGAGAGTTAACTTAGGGATTTTTTTTTTCCTCCAGAAAAGCTAAACCACAGGAAACTCTGGAGCTCGCTACCAGTGGAAAGCACTTGTCTGTGAATAAAGCCCATGCAGGCAGAACTGGACATGAGAGGCAGGGGGACGCTCTTGATGCACAGACCTGGGCACCTGAATCCATCGCTACCGGAAATGCCCACACTTAGTTTTTATGGTGGTGGTTGTCTCGTGTGTGCATGCATGTTTGTATGAATAAATACAGGTGTGTGCACCTGTGTATGTTTGTGTGCCTGTGTGTGTGTGCACACGTGTGGACGAATGTGTGTGTGTGTGTGTTTGCTATGAAGGACAGAGGCCAGCCTCAGATGTCATGCCTCAGGAGCCATCCACCTTGTTTTCTAAGACAGGGTCTCTCTCTGATTCCTGGGGTCACTTGTTAAGTTAGGCTGGCTGGCCAGAGGGCTCCTAGGGATCACTTGTTCCTCCCTAGAACTGGGATTATTGTGGTTGGCTTTTTACTTGTGTGGGGGGGGATTTGAACTCAGGTCCTCACACATGACAAGCACTTTGCCAACCTAACCATCTCTTAAGCCTTGTCTTTTGTTCTTATTACATGACCCTAGGAACCTGCCTCTTTGCTCAAGATAATCTGAGGTGGATTTCTTTTCACTGCAGCTAAAATAATTCTGTCCAACAGCCAATCTTATTGGGACGTAATTACTCCTTGACCCTGTCTTGCATTCTTGAGAGGTTCTACAGGTGCCCCAGGCAGAGATCTGCTCTTCTTCTATTCCCATCCTATTCTAGGTGCCATGGCAACTGCTTCAAAAACATCAGCCATTAACTGGCATCTTAATCACGTCACGACTAAGGACGATAACTCACATTGAATATGCCGACTTTGGACTCTATCAGTTTCACTTGTGCCCTGTAACAAAGCAGAATCACAGGGGTGGGCATCACATTGGGAGAAGTCGAAGTGGGTCCCCAGAGAGGTAGAGGTGCAGGTGCTGGAAGGGCAGGAGAAACAGAAACACAGCGATGCTGGGAAGACCAGCGGGAGCCAGCGAAGTGTCAAAGCGCTGTCTTTAGCATCTCAGTAATCAGTACATCGGAGAGCTCAGATTCATAGACTCAGAAAAAGCAGGGTTGGTTATTCAGACATTTAAACTGTGTGGGTCAGGACAGCAAAAAGAATGAAGCCAACCAGAGTAAGTAATATTTATATTTCCTTCCCAAATGGCAGGCCCACAACACTGACAGGGCTGGCTCATCCTGCGTGTACCCGGATTACAGAGTCCACATGGAGCCCCGCGGGGCACCCACGAGTAGCCCTCCCCCTGCTGTGATGCCCATCCGTGTCAAGGATACTTACTTCTCTGGATGAAGCATCCCTGTGACCTTGGTGTTGTTGAAGGTCAATGAGGCAAATACGTTAGTGACCTGGAAGAGGCAGTAGAAAAAAACAGGCTCTAATGATGGTAGTTGTCATGCTGGAGGTGAGGGTGGGAACCAGAGGCCTTGGAAATTCACCCACTGGACTGCAGCCCCCCACAGTGTCCAGCAGTAAGGGATTAAACTTGGACATGAACAGGTTTACTTAAAATTGCTGAGAACCGGGGCTGGAGATGGCTCAGTGGTTAGGAACACTGGCTCCTTTTCTAGACGTACAGAGTCCAATTCCCAGCAACTACAGGGTGGTTCACAACCTTCTATAACATGATCTGAGCCCTCTTCTGGCCCCCCAGGCACATATACAGATAGAGTACCCATAAATGTCAAATAAATGAATAAATCTTAAAAAAAAAAAAAAGGAAATTGCTGAGGACCACAGCAGTTAAGCTTTGGATGGTGTACCAAGAGAAGACCTAGGTAGCTCTCAGAGGTCATGGCCAGATACTCCAGAGCTCAGCTCAGCTCTAGCATCAATAGTAATGAATTCTACTTTATTTTAAACAACTTGATATCATCAGTAACGCTATGAAAGACTGATGCACCCTCTGAGAGGAACTGCCTTTCAGAAGTTTGGCCTTGTTGAGTTTGAAGCCTGAAACAAGACAGCAAATTCTGATCCAGTGCACAGGGTCCTTGAAATCTGTGCCCGTTAGCCAGGGACCATTAAGAAGGGAAACTATCTTAGTATTTAATTTAGAAGGAATTTAGTTCAGGGAAATGGTTATGTGGGTGAAGGGACCTTAGGAATGCCACCCACACCCAAATAAAAGAGTGTGGGAGGCCACACAGGACTTAGTGAAAGCCAGAAGCCAGCCAGTATACTGACAGTGCAAAGGCTGATAAAGCTGGAAGTCAGAAAGCAAGGGAGCTTGGGAAATGTAGTCTTCAGAGGAACCACTACATTGCCGAGACAACAGGGCAAAGACACAGCCCTGACTCAGAGGGAGACACACACACACTGAATAAGCAAATCTTCAAATCGATGGATGCCATGCAGGAGGGGCTGCAATGGGCAAGTGAGCTTCCTGGACCTTCCTGGAGATGGCCCCCAGGAGCTTTGTCTCTGGATTGCAGCTTGCTGCTTGCTTTTGCTGTGCCTTCTCATGTTCGTCACTGTTATATTGCTCATATGTCTGGCACGGTGTGGTTGGGTGTGGGGAAGCCTCATTGCCTATAGTCTAGTGTGATTGCCTCTTGGGAGACAGCCCACTCTAACGGGCAATTTTCCTGCAGATCAATATGAAGATGGACTTTCAAGAAATAGTCCTGTTTCGATGAATTAATGATTTTACAGGATTCCCGACTTGATTTAAATAGTTTCAGGAAGTTAGGATAGTTGATAGGAAGTTTAAGGAGAAGGCTTAAGTTGTTTTGCCAGAAAGTTAGAATTAAGTTAGAATTAAGAGTAGACTGTGGCCCCTCCTTGCAGAACAGTGAAGGCTGCTCAGGTCAGAAAAGGAGCACGGCGAGCTTTCATGCATTATGAGCACATAACTGAAAGAGAAAAATAGACTTGGGAAAAGCCAATGATCAAAGAAAATATTGCATTCTAGGTTGGGTCTGAGGTCCTGGATCTTGTGATTTAGGGGATGTGGGCACAGGATTTGGTGTGCACCATGAAAAGGCAGGGTTATGAACAAAGAGCAAATAATTCTATTATGAGTATAAGAATAGAGGTTAAACGATTACCCAGTTTAGCTGAACAAGACTTCAAATAAGATATAAAATAGATGATCTGTTTCTTGGCAAATACAAGTTGTCATAAGCTAAGCATAGGGAAAAGCTTGCTGCTATAATCTTGGCTTGCTTAAATTTCGTTAGTCAATAACAAAAGAATTCTTGCTTTGAGGTTATGATGAACTTGTGGAGAGAAAGGCAGATGAGAAGTATTAGGTATGAGTTTCAAAAGAAGAATATATAATCAATAATCCTGTTGTAATTTCCTTTTGTGTAATGCTTTTAATGTGTTTATAAGATTACGTTTCCTCGGTGATTGTTTTTAGGGAATATGTAACTCATGGCTATGAGGTAATTTTTTTTCTTACGTAGAGAGTTTTGTCTTAGGTGGTATAAAAGGCTAAGGGCTTTGCTCTATCCATCTAGTGTGTGAATGTGTGTGTGGTGTGTGGTGTGTGTGTGTGTGTGTGTGTGTGTGTGTGAGTGAAGCTGTTAGAGGTTGTTGAAGCTTGCTTCATCAAGTGTTCTTGTGTGCATTCGTGCATGTATGTATGTGTGTGTGTGTGCAGTGTGGATGATTCTTTCCCCCTTTCCCTTTTCTACTTCACTGGCCACAGTGAATCAGTCTTTATTTTCTCAGAGAAGTCTGTGGTGTGATCAGTCACTGACTCTACGCCCCAACTCAGGTTACCCTGACCTGTTGAAGCTGGCCTTCTGACATCAAATAGCTACACAAATGCCTGGAAAATAAACACCATGAAGAGAATTACAGAGTGCTGTCGGAAGGACCCTGCTGTTTGAGGCTGCAGGACTCTCTCTGCCCAGCGGGGCCTCCTGCTCTCTGCCTGACTTTATCTGGGGAATGTCTCTAGACAGATGCCTCTAACCACATTTGATATATGGCCTTTGACACAGCTCTCTGCTAGCTCTCTCGTCCCTGTGCTTATAGGATAATTAGGCACATTAGAACTGTGCTCCTGTTCATATGATAGGCGCGTGCTGCTTAGTGCAAATCAAGCACCCTTGAAGTGCCCAGTTTTAACCAATTATGTACACCTGCCTTTGGAGCCCACACCCAAGGATGTCCACTCCTCAAGCGGTACAGCCTTTGTTCTCTGGAATTAAAGTTGAACTAGCTCCCTGAAGTGGTTCCTGGAGTGTGTGGTCTCCGTGCTCCCCAGCCTTTCCAGCCTTGCACCTCTTTTCCTGCCCTTCCTGACTTCGTTGGCTGGTGGGAGACAGCCCCCCAGGCAGGAGGAGAACCATAGAATGCCACAAATTAACAAAAATGTGAATATTAAGGTGGATTGGTGGTCAGAGGAACCAAGAGAGCCCTTTCTGGGGTTGTGATGTATCAGTTGAGAGCTGAGGAGAGTGAGGAGAAAAGTTCTCATGAAGAGGAACAGCTTTTGCAAAAACTTTGAGCCTTACCACGCCAAGCCGGAAGACAGGCTCCCGGGCGGAGCTGGGCAGGACCACGAAGCCTTCAATCTCCATCTGGGGGGTCAAGGATAGATTCCCAGGACTGACATTCAGGATTGGGGCAGAGACCACTGTTCCAATTAGCTCCATGTTCATGTCGGGGTACTTTCTGGTTATCTGGGGGTAGGATTTGGAGATTATGTCAAAAGAAGGGAAAAGAGCTATAGAGTCTAGAGCAGCGGTTCTCAACCGAGGGGTCACAACCGCTTTGCCAACCCTCCATCTCAAAAAATGTTTACATTACTGTTCAGAACAGCAGCAAAATTACAGTTATGAAGTAGCAATGAAAATAATTTATGATTAGGGATCAGCACACAATGAGGAACTATATTAAAGGGTTGCCGCATTAGGAAGCTCGAGAAGAAAACAAAAAGGAGACACTTTGGGGCTGGTTGTATTTTCCACAATGTGTGCAGTTATGCTGTATCTTCTTAACAGCAGAGGAACATGGCCCACGCAGACCTCCTACCTCTACCCTCCCCAGCCAGCAGGGAGGGGGCCCATAGCATCTGTGCTAGCTCTCAGCAACTGGGTCTCTGTCCAGATCTCAACACTGCTGCAAGAAGGCTCAATATTTTAATTATGGTGGCCACAGAATTTCAATTGAGACAAGCCTGGGGAGGGTGGAGCTGGTGGAAGAGCATACTCCCATGAGCCTTTGGTTCTATAACTGCAGACCCATCTGTAACTGTCAGGGGAGTTTGGGAGCTGGGGAAGGTGGGGCTGATTGTCTTTGAGGACACACTTTACTGGGTGATTACGGTGATGGCAAGGTGAAGGTAGGGCAGTCAGGAGCTATGGGATATTGGAGCCTGGCCATGAGACCCAGGATGCCTCAAGACCAGCTGGGACAACTCTGTGGCATCGAGTAGGCACAGGGCCTGACAACGCAGGGCTTGGACACTCATTTTCTTTCTTAAATTTTAATTTGTTTTTAGATTTATTTATTCTATTTTATGTCTACGAGTGTTTTGCTTTCATATGTATTCACGCCCCACGAATGCCTCATGCCCACAGAGGTCAGAAGAGGGCATCAGGTCCCCTGGAACTGGAGTTGCAGATGATCGTGAGCCTCTGTGTGGGTGCTGGGAACTGAAGCTGGTCTTGGAAGGAGGGAGAGTCCAGAGCATGCATGTTTGTACAAAAGAACCAGGGAGAAGACATTCAGCCCCCTACAGAGACTATAAAAGAAGAGGCCAGGGAAGGGGGCACTGGTTCAGTGGTTAAGAGCATATTTTGTTCCTGCAGAAGAGCTGGGTTCAACTCTTAGTACCTGCACAGTGCCTGGGCTCTTACACTGTTGGGAACCAGGGCGCCTTTCCATTCAAAGTGGGTGCCAGGGGCCAGCCAGGGCCAGGAGGCTTTCCCTCCATCACCTTTTCTATCTCTGGAATAGTGATATATGAGAATTTCTTTTCCGTTCAGAAAAATGCTGATACTGGGTGTAGTGGCCTACATCTGTAGCCCAGACTTCTGGGAAGTTGATACAAGAGGATTGCAAGTTCAAGACCAGCCTAGGCTACATAAAGATCCTGTATTAAAAAACTGAGGGCCGGATCGTAACTCAGGGGTCTTGTTTTTGTAGCATATGTGTGCCCCAGGTTCTACCCCGAGCACCTCAAATTTTGTAAGTGCCCCTTAAAACAACCTGAGTGTGCCTAGCTCTTGATAAATCCTCTCTGGCTGTTAGGTGCTATTAACTAGGGTGTCCTTCCCAGCATTCCTTGGGCTCCTTAACACCCAAACCAGACTGGGAAACCCGAGGAAGACTGATTAGGGGAGGTCAGGCCCACTCTGCAAGGTCTATGAAGGAAGCCTCCAAGTCTGCTGTTCCCAGGGCCTTCCTGGGGTCTCTCACCAGCCTTTGGGGTCAAGTGGAGAGGGAACCAGAGGTTCTAGAAAGAAACCTTGGCCAACTGGTGGACTAAAGTTGTACCCATGTAGGACAGAAGGGGCTTTACCTGGGGAGTGAAGGGGCGGAAGGCCTTGGTGTTCAGCCGGATATTGGAGTCAGGTGGTAACTGCAGCAAGAACACAGGGGGGCTTTAGGGTGCTTGTTAGAGCTCTGAGGAGAACTGTAGAGAGTTAGTCTCTTCTCATTGCTGTATCAAAATACTTGGCAAAAAATGTCTTGAAGAAGAAGTGTTATTTTGGCTCACAGTTCAAGAGTTCACAGTTCATCAGCAGTCAAGAAGCAGAGAGTGGTGCTCGTGCTCAGCTCATCGCCTCCTTTACATTCAGCCAGGACTTCAATCTACAGAATGGTGCCGCCCACTGGTGATTGGGTCTTCCCATTTCAGTTTACCTAATCTGGACTCTCACAGAGAAGCCCAGGAGTTTGTCTCCTTGGTGAGTCTAGATCCTGTCAAGTTGACAAGCAATATGAACCATGACAGTAGGGGAAGGTCAAGACTGGCTTCTCTCAATGGGTCCGGTTGCCTTGGCTACCATGAGGCCTCTATCTTTTTGTTTGTTTGTTTTTCAAGACAGAGTTTCTCTGTGTACCTTGGTTTTCCTGGGTTCACTCTGTAGACCAGGCTGGCCTCAAACACACAGAGATCCACCTGCTTCTGCCTTTCTGAGTGCTGGGATTACAGGTGTGTGCCACCACTCCCGGCTGAAGCCTCTACATTACAAAGTGTGTAAATCTCCCAGGGATGGGGTTATAGCTGTGACCCTATGGGATCCTTCAGAGCTTTCCCACTGAGACCTTATGAAAGTTCCCAGCTTGTCGGTGTGACCCTGGGCCAGGCTTTTTGTCCTTATATTGAGGGACCCATCACCCAGAGTGCTCTGTGAAGTAGGTGGGAGACACGAAAGACCTGTGGTGGCATGGGGAGAAACCACCTTCAGGACAAAGCTAGCCATCTGTCACCAGAGAGTCCCCACTCTTTCCCACAGAGTGTCCCCACCACACTGACCTCATTCACAGACCTCAGCTCTTAATAGGTGCTTGTAACAAACAACTTTTTGAACTCTAGAAAACCTGAAAGAACTCAGGAGATTATAAGGTGTGATTTCTTATGAAAGTCACTCTCATGCCTGAAAATTCCTTTGGCAACCGTTACATCAAGGTGTGTGCTAGGAAGACATGTTTCTTTCTTTCATTTTGAGTCACTAAATTAAGTATCCTTTTCTGGCTGCAGGGAAGCTCTAAGGCAGATTTGTGATTAATTACAAATCTACCATCTTCGTAATTATCATTTACTTTTTGTTTGGTCTTTACCTCCTTTCTCTGTAATTCGATTTTGCCTCATCCATTAAATTATTCTTAATAATCTTGCAGGAATTATCATGATAAGAGAAAAATGTGAGTTAGAACAGGCCTAGACTAAAAGGCCAAACAGAGAAACACAAACAAGTCTTTGATAGTTATAAGGGAGAAAGGATTTTGGCCTTGAGAATCCTGGTGACCCAAGAAATAAAGAGAAATTTTGCTAATATACTTTGCTGGTCTTGATTATTTGCTAAGTTATAACTCACTGTTTTCTTGGTTTCAGTTACAAAAGAATGTTAAAAGGATGAGCCATGCTGCCCCTGCGGAGCACGGCGAAGCCCGAATTCTCACCATGTCATCTGTGATGGAGAAGTTCAGATACCCAGCCTGATGATAAACCTGACTGGCTACGTTGAAGGCATGATCTGAGATGGCGAAGTAGACCATTTGTTTGTTGTCTTCAGGTAGGTTCATGGTTGGAACGGGCAAGGTATCCGGGGAACGCTGATTCCGATTAAAAATTTCACCCTGGAGAGAGAAATGGGGACCGTTGGACTGTCTGAAGTTTATCCCATGGCTAGCCATTGAGCTTGGTTGATGAGGTACACTAACTGGAAACAACTTTCCTAAACTGCTCCTCTAACAACATAGTCCTTTGGGCAAATTTGTGTCTCTTACTACACAAGGGCCCCAGAAGCTTTGCTTTATGGAAACAATTGGATGTGTGCTGGCCAGTCTCTCTGCCCCACCTGGTTCTGACACCCTCCCCCATCTGCCAGAGGAGGAGTGAGGGAGGACAAGCGGGAGTCCTGAGGCTGAGGGTATAGAGACACTCTTGTGTGACTCTCACTTCTGGGAACACTACTCATAACACTGTGCACAACAAGAGCCCCTGAAAATGAGGCAGACATGAAGTTAGGGTGCAGGTGACCCAGGAGTCTATGGCCCGAGGCTGACTCCCACTCCTGCAGCCTTACCTTAAACATCACATCCAGCATCCGGGCCTTTGCACGGGGAGCCTCCACCAAACTGTAGTCAATGCCCAGGATGTTGTCAATATCCGCTGTGACTGTGAGTTAGATCAGAAACAGAGTGAGGGGCAGAATTGGGACCAGGTATGGCCTGCAGCAAGAAAAGAGAGGGTGAGTCCTTACTGTTTCTCTAAAGAGCTCCCACTTGGGGCTGGAGTGATGATCAAGGGGCCAGAGTTCAATTCCCAGCATCCATGTCAAGTAGCTCACAACCACCTGTAATTCCAGCTCCAGGGTGTGATGCCTCTAGCCTTCCAGGGCACCTGAACTCATGTGTACACGGCCACACACATACACACAAACACACATCACTTAAAATACTAAAAACACATCTCATAAAAGACCTTGAACCTTCTCATCCCAGCTCCCAGGCCATGTCTTTCCAACAAAGGGACAAAGGGACAAGGTAGAATTCTCCAGTCCCATGGCGTGTAAGTAGTGGTGGGGGTATGAGGATCAGCCTAAGGCCTAAGCAGTTCCCAGAGCTGGGTGGTCACAGCCAGACAGAGGGACGCACAGAAGGACCTTCATGCTGATCAAAATGACAGGAAGATCAGGTGTTTCCCCAAAGGCCTTGGGGGAAGATCCTTTCCACAGCCCTGGCTGAGCAAATGGTCCATGCCCCATGCACAGTCAGATGTGCCAGCCTTAGCCTCGGGTGAAGGGGCATTAACAAGTGACACTCAGGGATGTGGGAGCCTCACTGTGGACTACTCAGACCCTTTTGTTAAGCTCAAACTTCCCATATGCACCCTGGAACTTGGACTCCATACACAGCCGCTCCTCAGATGCACACTTGAATGAGAGCAAGGAGCGAATGCAGGGTGCTTCTTGCTGCCTTGTGGCCATTGCCAAAATAAATAAATAAACAAATAAACAAATATATATATATATATATATATATATATATATATATATATCAAAACCAGACGTCTGTAGAGGTTTGAATAAGAACAGCCCCCACAGAATCATATATTTGAATGCTTAGACACTAGGGAGTGGTGCTATTTGAAAGGATTAGAAAGATTAGGAGGGGTGGCCTTGTTGGAGGAAGTATGTCACCGGTGGATGGACTTTGAGGTTTCAAAAGCCCATGTCAAAGCCAGGTACTCCCTCTCTGTCTCTGTGTCTCTCTCATTTACAGCTCAGGATGTAACGTTCGGCTGCTTCAGCACTTGCCTGCGAACCACCATGCTCTTCCTGCAAACCACCATGCTCCCTGCCAGGATGCCGGTGCACTGATCCTCTGAAACTGTAAGCAAGGCTCCCAATTAAGTGCTTTACTTTAGAAGAGTTGCCTTGGTTGTGGTGTCTCTTTACAGCATAGAAGAGTGACTAAAACTATGTCCATCAGTGGACATAGATAACCGAGAACACCCTCAGCAGAACACTACACAACTGTTAAAAATCATCCAGCTGCTTCGAGTGCTCTGGAAACCCTTTGGCAGGATACTATACTGAGCACCCGAGCTTGGGACATCATAGGTCTATACCCTACGTTTTCCAGCCACAGATCCTAGAATATTCACTGCAGCCCTGCCCAGGAAGGTCTGTAACAAAAACTACCCAAGGGGCCTCCAGCAGTGGTGGAGCAATGGGGAGAGGGACGGCTGTGTGCTGGCAGCTCCAACACCGGTAAGGAGAGTGAACGAACATCCCTGCGGCAGCAGTGTGGACAGACCTCCTGTTCTAAAGAAAGATCTGGAAGGCCTCTGGCATCTGAAAGAGGCTCAGAAGACAGTGAGACAGATGCGCTCACGGACAGTGAGGAGCTGGGGTGAGTAGGGGTAGTGCTGACCACTGCTGATGAGATGGCCGAAGGAGACCCTCTTGGTCAGGAGGCTGGCCGTGTTTACGATCTGAATATTTCTCTCCATCGGTATAGTTTGGTTAAAGGTAGCGTTTGTTTTTTGAAACAGTCTCAGGTAGCCCAGGCTGGCCTGTGGTTCAAGGGCTAGCCTTGAACTCCTGGTCCTCCTGACTCTACCTCTCAAATGTTGGGATTGCTCAGGCATAAAAAAGCCACCTGCTGACACTCCTTCACTCTAGGCCCAGATTGGCCCAGATGACTGTGTGTGGGACTTGGAACGTTCGCCCACGTGGGATTGTGGAGGAGGGGACAGGCCAGTGCAGGGCATGCTTGGCCTTCCTGGTTCTGTGGCTCCCCATGAAGCTTCAGGCTGCCAGACATGGTCTGTGTCTGTCTGTCTGTCTCTCTCCGAACCTACATATGCTGACATAGAAGTTTCTCCAAGTCATACGAATTTAAAGTTCAGAACACCTATACTGTGTCCACTGAGAGGTATACACACGCGTACTCAAGCACAAGAGAACACGTGCCCTGAGCTTATGTGTTGTTATGCTTTGTCTTTTTCTTATCTGAAAAGATCCACCCAAGATCAAGGCTACATCTTAGCAGAAAAGTTGGGGAGAAAAGAGGATTTTTACATAGTTACTTTCTACTCTTTTGTCTCTGAATAGCTGACAAGGTTCAAATATGGGCTTACAAAAAAATGAAGAGAAATAGAGTGCCCCAGGGGTGCCTGGAGCCCTACCTCCCCAGGAGCACATGGAGCCCTACCTCCCCAGGGGTCCCTGGAGCCCTACCTGGTAGAGTTTGGAGATAAGGCTGCAGGTCAGAGGTCACGGACTTCCGGATCATCTCACAAATCTGAGAGGAATGGGAAGGGAAAGGCTAGTGAGTCTGCACCTTTTGGAAGCACCCAGTGACGTTTACTCTGTGGTCATCTCCATGCAAGTATCTGCAAAGGCTTAATAGCATGCACCAGCTGCCACCAAAGCACAGTGATAAAAGAAAAAACCATCATGTTAGCCCCCACACGGACTCTAACAGGGTCCGAGCAGACTGTACAGAGCTGGTCCCAAGGCTGGACATCTGCAAAAGAGAAGGGCTCTGGTGGGAAATGGTTTGTGAAATGCCACCATTACAGGCTTCTTAGGGGAAGCTTGGTGGTCAGAGCTTAGCTGAACAGGTGGCCCAGGAACTAAGTAGGCACAGAGATCCTGCAGTCACCCCCTACTGGCTGTCGCTGGGCTGCAGCCCCTGCTCCCTGGGTACCCAAGGGAAAACCCAATGTCATGTCTATGAACCACTTATACACAATTTATCGCCACCAGTGGAGCCATGAGCTTCTCAAGAACAGGAAATATATGTTTCCAAGCCCGTTAGCTGTCCTGGCTGCTGTAATCGCTTGAGTTATTTATTATATAAACCATCGAAATATGACTGAGAAGAAATGTTTCCAAGAAAACTAAAGATAAATACTCTGAAAGGCGAGGTGCTAGCCACGTGGCTCCCTTTGGACCACAGAGAAGCCAGAGAAGGAAAGGGTTCCTAAAAATAGAGAGGGGGATCAGTGAGGTAGCTCAGTGGAGAAAGAAACCTGTGACCAACGCTGACACTCTGAGTTTGATACCTACGACCCACAGAATGAAGGAGAGAACGACTCCCACAGATTGCCTTCTGGCTTCTCTGGCATATGTGTGCCTCCAAGGCATATGTGCAGCCCTGCCACAGATAATAAGTAAGCAAACAAACATGAAAACTGGAGATGGTCGTGAGCATGGGGATGGTCTGCAAGGGACTTCTTCATCCTCAGCTAGTTGAAGCAGTGGGAGTTTGTGACGAGCTGACTCCATGGGTGACAAGGCCCAGTCCTGGGTCAGCCCATCTCAAAGTACAGTTCCATGTCCTGTCTCAGTTTACATTTCTTTACATATGAGTCCACACATGAATATTTTTATGTGTGCACAGGAGAGTTTTCACTTTAAACAGCGTTTCTCTGCTTTCTTTCGTGAGCGTTGTCTGTTGCGTGCATGTGTGTTCACTCTTCAGCTAGACTGGATGGCCAGCAAGTTCCCGGGACCTGCCTGCTTGTGACCCCATAGTATTTGGTTACAGATGCGCCACACTGCCGGCTTTTCCATAGGGTAGGACAGCGAAACTCAGGTCCTCAGGCTTGGACAAGAAGTTCTTTCCCCACTGAGCCTTCTCTGCCCTGATCTCCTCCATTTTGGCAGATTCTTGCTATGTGCCTCAGGCTAGCCTCAAACTTGAAATCCTCCTGCCTCAGTACCCAAGGGCTAGGATGGGAGGTGTGTGCCACCATGCCCAGCTAACATGTTCCTTTTGGTTTGTGAGTTACCACTGGTTGTGGTGTGCCCATGTGTGCTCTAAAAGAGAGAGAGAGAGAGACATGGAAGTGTTGCCCTATGCCGTGGTCACACGTGGCCTCTCAGAAGAGGATAGACACTTAATGACAGCGGTTCCAGAGGGGCTGACAGTCAGGAGGTAGGCAGAGGGGAAGGCCATGGGTGCTGGGCAGACAAGGGTAATAGCTCAGCCTTTCTTTGCAGCTGGGAGAAAATGTCATCTGTGAGGTGTCATGGAGCCAAAGGAAGGGGTGATTGCCAGGGAGATGTGGGGTGCATCTGAGGAGCCCAGAGAGAGGCTGTCAGCCCCCACTTAGGATTGTCCCTTCTCTGGAAAGACAATATCTCATACCCCACCCCCCAATCCTGAGCCTGGGTACTCTATTCTTTCAGAGACTAACTAGTCGTGGAGGAAAAACATGGGGTCCTCAGTACCAGACGCTTAACAGGATCTTTGGGAGGCCCAGAGATGTGGCAGCTAAGGCTGCTGCAAGAAGGAAGCCCTGAGATCAGTCTCCACTGCCACTGCGACCTCTGCATCCCTGGGTTCCGCCTGCTCACAGGACCTGAGGCCAAGCGCTTCCTAGGTTCTACTTAGCATGTCTTCCAGAATATGTCTCCTCAGCTCTGCTTGTCCAGACAGCATGGAAGAGGGAGTCCTGTAGCAGCCACAGACAAGAGCTTGCAGGAAGGAGTTGTCTGCAAACTCACAGAGAGCAGGGGCCAGGCTAGATCTTCGACTCTTCCAAGACACTTGGCTCTTCAAAGACCTTTGGCATGAGGGGCCCAGCTGTTGGAAAGGTTCCCATCCTGGTCTAATGAGGTAGCACTGGCTAACCTATTACACTCTGCTGAGCCTTCCCAGTCTCTCTTTCAAAGCTTGAGGTCAAGCCCAGGATGATCTCAAGCTTGAGGCTCTATAGTAAGACTCCTTTTCTTCTTTTCTTTTCTTTTCTTTGTTTTGTTTTGTTTTTCAAGACAGGGTTTCTCTGTGTAGCTTTGGCTGTTCTAGACTCGCTTTGTAAACTAGGCTCTCCTTGAACTCACAGCAATCCCTCTGCCTCTGTCTCCTAAGTGCTGGGATTACAGGAGTGAGCCACCACCCTCAGCTAAGACCCTGTTAAAAAACACTAAAAAAAAAAATGGGCCAAGATTGTGAAAAAAACAAAACAAAACAAAATCTTACATCATTATTCCTGGCCAAAGCACAGGATCACAAAACAGCAGCTGTTGTTTACAAATAAGAATAGTATAGCTGCATTAATTAATTGAGCAAAACAATAATCCTATCACTGTACTTTGTGGTAATTATTACATTGCATGTTATTATAATATATTATCACCACACATTATCAGAAGCAGCAGGGAGTACAAGTCATTGTGGTAATATGTTATGGATGTCGGTATGAAGGTGGTCTATTTAGGAAGTTCACCCAGATCTCAGGACCACAGTGTGTGTGTGTGTGTGTGTGTGTGTGTGTGTGTGTGTGTGTGTGTGTGCGTATTCTTCCTCCTTCATTTTCTGCCTTTCCACAGAGTCACTGTTACAGACACAGCTCCAGAGTTCAGTATTTCACAACTGGGATTTTGGAGGGTGAAAGTGAGTTTACAGGAAGCAAACATTTACGTGGAATGAAAAAGTCTTTGTTCTAGTCAAAGCTTATGAAGCCTGGACATATCACATTAGCTTTTCACAGAAGAAGAGGATACAATGTCACTGCCTCTGCAGCCAGGACACAGGTGCTCATGATTTTGCCCAGTTCCCACTGGCCAGGTTCCTGCCAGGCCTCTGGAGGCACCTGGGCAATGACTCGTTTTTGCACCTGAGGATGAGGGACAGTATGGACATGGTAAACAAGACCAGAAGGGGAGGGATGGGATCTCTGCCCTCTACTCCCTGTTTCACCTCGGTCAAGCTCCTGGCTGTTTCTGCCTAACTGGGTGTAACTGGATGGAGTCTAAAGCCTTGAATGTTACCCAGCTCCACCCTATGTTGGCTCTATGGCCCGGGCAAGTGTTTTTTCCTCTCTGAGCTGTGATCTCATGTGTGTCTAACTGGCCCCAACAGTCTGTCCAGAGACAGAGGCCTGTGGATAGATCTGCTCAGCCTCACTGGCATTTCTTACCTTGTTCTCCAGAACTTTTCTAAGCTTGGACTCGATCTGGTTGTGGAAGAGATTCAGCAGCCACCTGGGCAGGAGATACAGCACACAGTCAGCTGTCTGACACTGGGTACAGGGACAGAAGGGATGGAGAGAGCCAGGCCCTGCCATCTGGAGACAGAGCTACGGCTCAGCAGTGAAGAGCGCACACTGCTCCTGCAAAGAACCATGTTTGGTTCTCAGCACCCACCTCAGGTGGCTCACAACCAGTGTCCCAGCACCCTGCCATGGGCAGTACAGCTGGCTCCAGCCTCCTGACGATTCTGCTAAGATCAGGGGATTTGGGATTGGAACTAGAGTCCGGTTTTCTAGCCAGGGGAATCTAGACTGGGAGGCAAAGTGACTTGACTTTGGGCTTGAACCTTCAGCCAAAGCTTCCTCCCCTGACAAGGTCCCCTAAGTCTGTTGACTTGTCAAAGCGGCACCTCAGCCCTCGTGTCTTGAGTCTGCACCGGTCTGTCCCAACAGGTGTCCCAAGCTATCATCCCCAAAGGATGGCCTCCAGGTGTGTGAGGTGCTAAGCATTCCACCCAGACCTGGACACTTATCAGAGCCCTTTGAGGACCATAGCCGGAGGGTTTTCGGGTTGACTCACCCCAACTTTCCAGATACGTGCACATCCACATCATTGATGTGGCTGCTGCACCGGGAAGCAGTGACTGTGGGCCGCCCAGAGGGGTCGCTGCCCAGGAGGAGGTCCACTGAGATGGTGATACCCTTGACATCCAGGTCAAAGGAGCCATGGGATTTTCTGGAGGAGGTCAGAGGAGCAATTATTTATTGTGTCTAGAATGCGCTGCCACTGGGCATAACAGGAAGCCAGATTCTCACTCAAAACAAATAGATACTAGCCAAAAACTTAATCACAAATAGAAGATCTAGCAGAATGCCTGGGTGAGGCATTTCTAGAATAATCCATATTCTTCAAAGTCAGGAAGGAAACGGTTGGTGGACTGCAAAACCCCATAATATACAGAGTGAAAAGAATCACTTTCCAAGACAGCACAGGTGCCCCCTAACGCATGAGCAGACACAGGGGCTCGCTCCTCAATCCACGAATGAGTTATTAAGGACAGGAGAAAGCAGTGAAAAGGAACCTTGATGCTTGAGCAGCACCAAGCATTGGAAAAGTTGTGGAAAATGAACATACAGCGATGCCAGTTTCCACCCACAAGGTTGAGAAGACTTTTGAAGATGAAGGTAAATAGACACTGTAGGCACAGTGGCCCCCAGAGGATGCTGGGAGAAGTTTCTGGAACAACCCAGCACAGATGTCAGGTCAGGCCCAGATACCCAGCTTCCAGCTCTTTCTCATGGATGCATGTGGGGGGGGGTGCCTCACTGAAGCATCATGGGTAGCAGCCAAACAAACAAAACACAACAACAACCATGAAGAAACACCTTTAAGAAACAGCCTGAAAAAAGAAAAGAAAAAGAAACAGCCCGAAGGGGCCTGGAGAGACGACAGCAGTTAAGTGTGTGTACTGCTCTTGCAGAGGACCCAAGTTCAAGTCCCAGCACTCACATCAGAGGGCTACCAAGCACCCGTGAGTCCAGATCCAGGGTGACATGACGCCTATGGCCACCACAGGCACCTGCACTAATGAGGTGCGTCCCCATTCCCTCACCTGCTCACCTCAACCCCCAGCATCCAAAATAAAACGGAATATGCTTTGGGCATTCATATTCTGTGCAGCTTTTGGGGGGGGGGCAAATATGGTTTACTTGTGAGATGGACTATTCGAGGGATGGAATAGCAATGTGCATAGAGGTGTGGACAGACTTTCAAAACCAAAGTGACAGAAGCAGGTATGTGGTGTGCATAGAAGAGGTTCAGGACAGACAGATCTGTGCGGGTTAGGGAGATGGGGGTTATGGGGGGGGGCGGGGAGGAGGTATGACTATTTCACGTAAATGGACTTTTCACAAATGTTTGGGAACTTGGTAGAGGCCACGATTACACAACCCTGTGACTGTACTGAAAGCCACTAATGCACAAATGTCAAGTGATCAGTGAGTCTCATTAAAAAAAATAGACCGGCTCCATAGATGGTGGGGCACACCTTTAGCCTCAATGCTGGGGAGGCAGAGGCAGGTGGATCTCTGTGAGTTCAAAGCCAGCCTGGTCTACAAAGTGAGGTCTGGGACAGGCTGGGCTGTTACATAGAGAAAGCCTGTCTTGAAAAAGCCAAAACAAACAAAAATTAAATAAAAGGGCAGTTTTGAAAGCTAACAGGGCGGGTCATCATTTGTTCGTAGAGAAAGATGGTTAAAGGCTGACTGGACACAAAAGTTGGAGGGGGCAGTGTGGTCCTGTGTCACTGATGAAAGTGAAGAGTGCACACAGGGGCCACACATGTACTGTCAACAGACATGGAGAGGGAGTCACATGTGCTACTTACGAAAGCCTAGTAATCACACCAAAACGACAGCAAAAGAGGCAAAGGTGATTTTTAAGATTTATTTTTATTTATGTGTTAGTGTGTGTTTGGGTGCCCATGGAAGTCAGAAGAGGGCATCGGATTCCTTAGAGCTGGAGTTACAAGCGGCTGTGAGGGGCCTGACATGAAACTAGAGACAGAACTCAGGTCCTCTGAGCACACGAGCTCCTAACGTGCCCTCTCTCCAGCCGCCCAAGTAAGTGCAATAATGGATATTGCTGTTTTGGTATGGAAACTATGGAAACGTCAGTGACTTATGTAGGAATTGCCAAGATTTGTGCCCCTCCCCCCTTTTACAAATCTGTAAATCTGGCCATTTCACACCGCTGGTGGGGTTCATACCAGGTGCTTTGCAAAACCCCATGGCTGGAAGCTGCCACATAAGACGCTGTGGGGTCTCAGGAGTAGATGCGACCGGACCACCAGGCCGAGACTGGCCAGCTCTTTCATCCTGGGCTGAACTGTGTCCCCAGAATGCACGTTAAAGCTCCCTCCCCACTCCATACCTCTTAGTTGTGACTCCACAAGGAGACAGCCTCTGTGGAGAGATTAACAGAGGCAAGGAGGGCGGGTCCTCAGAGGACACCGGGTCCCAACCTTCCTGATGCTGTGACCTTTGAATACAGTTGTGATGACCAATAACCGTAAAATTATTTTCACTGCTATTTCATAATTGGAATTCTGCCACCTTAGTAGGAACTGTAATGTAAATATCTCTGTTTTCGGATGGTCTCAGGCGATCCCTGTGAAAAGGATCATTCATCCCCAAAGGGTCGTGACCCACAGGTTGAGAACCGCTGTCATAGGCGGTCAGGATGCGGGGAAGGAGGGACCAGGGCTGTCCAGAGCCCACATGGGACTATGGCAAGGACCTGCCACCTGCAAGCTGAGGAGAGAGGTCCCAGGCCTGCTTTGTCCCTGACCTTGACCTTCTGACCTCCATAGCCCTTATGTCACTCGTGTGTGTTTCGTGGGGCTGCCCCATCCAGGGACTGTTGGTGCAGGGCATCAGGAAGAGAGCTGGGGACTCTGGTGGGTGACTCCCACAGTCTCCAGTGACCTGTCCCTAAGCTTATCGCTCCCGGTCTGTGCCTCCCTCTGAAGGAGAGGACATTTGTCCATGTTCCAAGGACAGCTCTAGCTCATGGGAGGTCCTAGCCTTGGGGTCTAGAGCTGTGTGTGGGAAACAAACCAACATCATATGGTCTTTAATTCACTCAGAACCCTCAGGGGAAGCAGGCCTGTCCCTTTAGAAGATGTGGAATCTAGACAGAAAGAGAGAGACTTGGGACTTGGACTCTGGTCCCCACTGTGGCCTGGGTTACCCTTGTCTGTCCATGATGTGGTCTTTCTGATGACCCAGGAAGAAGGAACAAAGGTCAGGAACAGGGGCCCAAGGGCAGATGGAACTTAACTTACATGAAAGACTTGCGTGCCTTCCACTCGCCTTGGATGCTGATGGAAGAGTCAGAGATGGCAAGACTCAGGCCCTGGCCTGGGAGTGGCTTCAGGGAGGGGCGACGCAGCTCACAGTTCTGGACCTCTAGGCTGCAGGAAGATGAGGAGGCATCAGGCATCCAGCTGCCCCAGGAACCATGCTTCCTCCTTTCCAGCCTTGCCTGGGCACAGCACCAGGCTCCCCGACTTTCAGGGTTCTTCCTCAGCCAGCCATGCCTCAGACAACCCTCCCAGTGTCACTGGGGCTCTGCGGCAGGCTGGTGCTGCGCTCCCCTCTTCACAATAGGGGGACTCTGAGGAAGGGGTTTAATGGCTGGTGGGCACCCGGCAATGGGCCCTGTGAACCACAGTGGCCTGTGCCAGTATCCTGGGCACAGCCCATAGATACACTGTCAGGAAAGGCAGACCTTCCCTCCAACCCTGCACTCCTCATGCCCAGGAAGGGGGCCCAGATTTAAGAAAGCCTGAGATAGCCCTCAGAGGAGACTAAAAGGGGCCAGGGCTATGCACGGGAGATAATAGGTCGATTGTTTTTTGGGAGGGTGGAGGGGAGGTTGGTACACAGAAAATGTGTACAAAGTAAGCTTAATAAAGGTGTGCTATCAAAAATGATAGAAGAGGGGAGCCCTGAGCAAAGAGGGCATTTATAGGCAGAAATCCTGACTCCCCATTTTTGATGTCCATCTTTCATGCATTAAAAAAGCCATTTTAACAAAGCCTTAAAGACTTAGCTTAGGTGCCCCTCCTCTAGGAAGCCTTTCCTGACTGCTCCGTCCACAAAAGGCAATGTTAGAGTTCAAGACACTTCATTTTATGTTCTAAGCCTGTCTTCCCTTCCAGGCCACTGAATTCGCCCTCTAAGGGAAAGAGAGCAGCAGCAGATCCATTGCACAGATGAGGAAACTGAGGCTCGGGCCACACACTCAGGAGGCAGTAACACTGCCGTGTGTTGAATGCAGAGACCAAGCTCCCTCCAAGCAAGCCCCCCCGACCCCCACTGCCTGAGTGAGGTTACCCACCCCTGGGCTCTGTCCCCTCTGCAGTCACCTATGAAACTCGTAATGCCCACGGCCCACAGCCTTGATCTTGAAGTCCCCGGTGAAGTCGGGCAGCGTGATCTTGCGCAGCTCTTTCTGAAGAGACAACAGTCCCTCCTTGGCGGCTGCAGGCAAGGAAAAGCTGGTGTCAGCCCACCTCTCTCCTGGAAACTCTTCAGAGGCCCCCACCATCCCTGGCTAGAGAGGGCGGGCGAATTACAGCGCGCGCTCGCACACTGCCTAGCCCAGCTCTGCTAGGCGGCGCGGAGAGCCCCTGCCTGACATGAGGAATGGCTAGGCCTGTGCCCATCTTACCGAAGAGAACAGAGATGCCTTTACCAACAAAAGGACCAGAAAAGGTGTGCTAAGTGCCTGGGGTGTGGCCTTCTTTTTGTCCTCCCTGGTGCCTTGTCTGTGCAGAAAACACTGCCCAGGGCTAGAATACTGGCTGGGACATCTTTCTAAACCAAGTGGCACTGAACAAGTCCCCAGACTTCACTTTCTCTGTTCTGTCAGGAAACAGTGACACCTTCCTCATGCGTGTGATGGAACCCGGCCTGTCAAACCAGTGGCAACCTAGAGCAGGACAGGTGCTCACAGCTTGTGGCTGGCACACAGCACGTGCTCAGTAAATGCCCAGGACAACAAAGGGCAGGGTGTTAATGTTACTACAGGAGTGGAAAGGACCAAAACACCCAACTTCAGGGACCCTGGTGCACACACCTGGCACATGTGCCCGGGGAAAGGACAGAGGGCAAATGCTCCTGACTTAGCGTTCCCAAACAAATGCAGTTAGTGGCCCCACTGTGTGCTCTGACAGGAGAGGGGCCCAGGAGTCTGCCCCGAGGTGTGCACATAAGTCACTAGTGACTTCCATTTTTTTTTCAATGTGACCTCTTACCTCTTCTACTTTACCTTCTCCTGGAAGCCCTCCCTGACTTCACCTTCTGACCTCAGGCCTGTTTTAGATCCCAATATTTCTGCCCAACTGAGGGGCTGTTATGACCCCATTCAATAAGGCAACGGGGCTCTACAGAACTGATCTGTCCAGACTTGTAGAAACACCCCAGCTCCCTCACCCCTTGGATGCGACCATTCTGTGTCATTTTCTCAGCATCTTGTCAAATACCTTTTCCCAGTCTGTGAAGCTGAGTCAAGCCTGGTGGTATAGAACTGTAACTCAGGCTGCTTCAGGAGGCTGAGGCATGAGAGTCACAAGTTCAAGGCCTGCCTGACCTATAGAGTGAGTTCAAAGCCAGCCTGGGTAACTTAGCGAATTGCTGTCCAAAATTCAAAAATGAAAAAGGAGAATGTATAGTTGTGACCGTGTAGATGTGGTGGAGTACCTGCCTGGCTTGTGCAAGGTCCTGGGTTCGATTCCCAGTACTGCAATAAATGAACAACAAACAAACAACAAACAAACAAATGCTCCGAGTAACGTGCATAAAGGCGCCTGAGGAGTGCTCGTCTTGAAGGTACCCACCAGTAAGTTTTAATGTTTGATAAGTCGGATAACTGCCACTCAGATCCTGATGTGGCACATTTTACCCCCACCTCCCAGCTCTATCCCCACCCCCACCAAGCCAGCCTACCTTGGTCCCTCCCAGTCTCTAACTGCTCCAGCTATGAATTGTGGTTTTAGGTCATGTTTTCAAATTCCACCAAGACTCTTCCAGAAGGACCGTCCCAGGCCCCTGGGTGGGGCTGTTTACCCCGCTGTTTGCCTTCTCTTCCCAACTCTTCTGCCACCGCTATCTGCCTCCTACTTCAGCTAATGGACCCCAAATCTTCCTCCCAGTCTGGTAACAGGGCCAGATCAGAGCTCTGGCCACACGACTCATGTAGCAGGCTCCATACCAGAGGGACAATGCTTTCCATGTCCTGGCTGTGTCTGGTGTCCTCAGGTCTCCTAGGCCAGCCTATAATGTGGCTTCTTACCATAATCCAGGCCCTTGTCGGTGATCCTGGCCACCAGGGCGGGGTTGGCACCCCGAGTCCCTGGGGTGGACAGGAGCAGCAGCCCCAGCAGCATAGAGAGCACAGGCCCAGTCCCAGCCTCCATCCTGGATGCTCCGTGGGTGAGCAGGGACTATGACAGTGTGGGCTGGCTCTGGGGCCCTTAAGTAGCCAAGGCCCAGGGCTGAGGGCGGTTCTTGAGGGAGGGCGGGCCCCTGGAAGTGGGGGAGGTGGGGAGAGGAAGGCCCGTGGACTAGAACCTGCTTGCAACCTGCTTGCGACACCACAGGGGCCAGAGTGGGCCTGGTTTCAAGATGTAAGCCCGGCCCATGCTCTCCTGAATGGTGGGGGCCACCGCACACTCACTGGAGGCTCTGCCTTACCTCAGCCAGTTTCTTGACCTCTCTGCCAGGAAGGCCTTGTGTCACAGCCAGGAAACCGAGGTTCCCTCAGGGTGGCAGCCCAGCACATGAAAGCCGGAAGGAAAAGTGGGTGTGGCTCCACCTGGCCTCTGCTTTCTTTCAACTCTGTTTAAATAACCACTTCTCCCAGCCCTCCTGTGGCATAACTAACTGTCTGGACAGCAGCTTGGCAAATCTTCAAACGTTAATTTCCAGCACCAAGCCAAACCAAACATCACCCAAAAAAGCTCTCGAAACAGCCTTGTGCCCCATTGACCCCAGCAATTTTCCTTCTGGCACTGGCTGTGTGTAAGTAGGTCAGGCCATGTGCAAAAGTGTCAGCAGCTGCACTGTGTGGCCCAGGAGGAGGACTGAGCCCCGCTAAGGTATCAGGGAAGGGGAAACCAGCCACGAAGACTTTAACACAGTCTTTTATCCTTCGTAAGGATCACATGGCCTCCCTGCTTCCCTGAATTCTAGAAAGTTCTTCTGCTTGTTTCCTTGTTTTGGAGATCACATGACATCAGAGTATGGAGACCCTCACATGACCTCAGAGCATGCAGTGCCCTGTCCCCTTTAGTCTTTCATTCTTGAGTATAAACTAACAACCTCTGTGAACTGCCTGACGGCTAACACAGAAAGGTCCTAAGTGTGTGAAGACCAAGCGGGGGGGCGTGGCTCTGTGGAGCAGCACCGGGAAAGGGCGTGCTCAAAGCCCTGTGCCTGTGAGGATGCTAGAACTAGCCCCAGGAGATGGGAGCCGCAGTGTTCTGCAGCCAGAGAGTAAGAGGAGAATAAGAAAGACTCACACTCGGGGCTGGGGAGGCCCAGAGAAGCAGCTGACCTCCCTGGCCGCAGTCTAGTCTTTTCTCTCCCTATGAAACCTCTTTTCTCTCCCGAGGCCTCCCTGTTGAAGCTTTGAGGGTGAGAGCTCCCCACACCATCCAGGCTTCCAGCCCTTGGAAACCTGATTTCCCACCTGCCAGCTCTCATCTCCCGAGGACCGGCTTCCAAGAGTCAGGCAGGCGGCATCTGGTTGGGTGACAACAGTGCAGAAATAAACGGGAAGTGTCATTTCCAACGACACCATATTCTAAGGGTCTATGCCTCTGATCAAAGGCAAAATTATCAAGGCGGTATGAAGGGTTGTTTCTGGCTAGATGGAAAGGATTGTGGGTAAGATTGGGCCTCAAGACAGAACTCCGTGGTATAGTGCTCACCCCGCACACACATGACCTTTAACTTTGTATTCTGCTGGGTACTGGGATGTGGTCCTGGAGGCATACACGTTTGCAGTAAGTAAAGGTGATAAAATTTCATAGCAGGAAACAAAATCTAGCGATGGTCCTAGGTTTTCAGCTTTTGCACATTCTTTCCAGTAATTATAAACTTTGCTCCACCCTTGGCTCCAGGAACCCTTCCCTAACCGCTCCCATGTTTCCCAGGAGGCCCCAGAATTCCTTGCATCTTCCCCAGCATGACTTTAACTACACTCTGCTTTATGGTGAACAGTCACTTAGAAACATGATTGCAGAATCTCTGGTGCTTTTTGTCAAAAGGTGGAGACTGATGCTGGGGTGATGGCTCAGTGATGAAGAGCGATGGCTGCTCTTCCGGAGGGCCCGGGTTTGATTCTCAGCACTTACACGGCAGCTCACAGACATCTGTTACACCAGTCCCAGGGGATCCAGTGGCCTCTTCTGGCATCCTCAAACATCACACACAAGTGACACACAAGACATACATGCAGGAAAAATAACCATACACATAAAATTAGTTGAAGGTGGAGCCTGTTCACTTCCCATGGACTTGGTGGTGTCTCGGGACCTCGACAGACTGAAGGTGGAGGGGAAAACAGTGTGACTGTTGTGGTTCTCAGGGAGGACTGAAGACACAGGGGTCATCCGCGAATGTGCAGCACATGCAACCCACAGCTTGGGCCTGTCTGCCCCAGGTACCATATTGTTACAGGGGCAGAGGGTTGTGGGGACCTTTGCCCCTGGTCCAGCCCCTCCAAGCCTGGTTATTTCCAGATATGTTTTCACCCTGTGGCCTTGATGGGGATTAGAAGGAAGCTGTGTTTATGGAGGGTCTATATGCCAGACCCTTGTTGGCCAAGCTGGCATTCCTCCCTGTGCCCGCCCAGCCCTCTAGGGTATGCGTTCTAATCTCTGATGGGTAACTGATGTATTGCATGGCTACCAGCCGGTCCTGAGCCCAGGGCTGTGGGGTTCCATCCCCAAACACTGGCCAAGGAAGGCCTGTTTGAAGAGGTGACATTCCGGGATAAGGAGAGTTGTCCTAACAACAGGGACAAAAGCTTGGGGTAAGAGCAGAGCTCAGAGGCATGCCCCAGGGTCCCCCAGAGAGCCTCTGCTTCCCCCGAAACCTGGCCAGAGTAGTGCCTTTCTGCCACAGCCAGCTCCTTCCTCTTTCCCTTGGGCAACCTCTTCTCCTCAGGCCTCCTCACTTCCTTGTGTGAAGTGTTGCAGTTGAGAAGACTCTCCTGGGCTTTGCAACTTAGAGGGCAGAGAAGCACCATTTGGAGAGTGGAGCTTGGTGGGGATGGGAATTTTTTTTTTTTTTTTCTATTTCTGGGGATTTGAGTATGTTCCCAGCTAGGAGCTGTTTGCAGGAATGGGAATTTCCCACAGCAATGACCTCAGGACCTCAGAGCTGCCAGCCAGTGTGCCATTGTTCCAGGGCTGGACTCCCCACCCCACCTCCAGTGATGGACATTTTTTGCTTAGTTCCCTGCTGATGCCCCAATATTCACCAGAGACCTCAGGGAGCAAGTGGTCCTGATGCTAATGCTGACGACCTTGGAGTCTTTCTTCTGACAGGAAATGGTGGCCACCGGCTCTCTGCTGGGAAATCTATCTCTTTTTCTCTGTCTCTCTGTCTCTGTCTCTGTCTCTCTCCACAGTTGCAAATCCCAGGAATGGGATTCGTGATGCCCTCAGAACTCACAGTAGGAAGCGGTTGAAGGATGAACATTAATTACACCAACGTTATGGTCTCTGGGCCTAAGGCCTAGCTTTGTGTTCTTTACAGCTTAGTTTCCTCATCTGAACCTGGACTGGGCCAGAGGACAGAGTGCACGAGGGCAGAGGGCAGAATCACAGTTCTGAGAGGTTAGGATTTTGTTGATGTTTTTCATTCAGAATCCATGCTCCTGCCTTCCTTGTGCCTAGACACCTGCTTTCTCTCTGCTGCTTCCAGGATGCTCCTAGCCTGAATTCCTGAGCCTGTGCCCCACTCTGTAATAGCACCTCCATTCTGGTTTCCGGCCCGGATTCTGACAGACAGCTGGGTGCCCCTGCGTCTTGCTTCTGAACTTGGGAACTCTTGGGGGCAGAGCTCTCAAACCTTTCCAGAGGCTTAGCTGCTCTTCTGGGAGCAGTAACCTCTGAAGACAGAAATCTAAAACCCCCAGCAATTGAGCGCCACCAGAAGACCCAGGACCACTAGGGAAGGCTTGAAAGCGGTGACAAGGTGACACTGCCACATCTGCGGCGTCTGCGTTTGCTGAGGAGGCATGGAAGGGCAGCGGGAGGAAGGCAATGAGGATGGAGTGGTTGAAAGGCAGCGAAGCCCAAGCCCTGGGCCAGCTCTACTCCCACTGGACTTGAGGCTCCTCTCCTCCCCTAGTGAAGGAGGCAGGGCCCTGGGACAGTGGCTTGAGCCTGTGGTTTGTGGAAGACCCCTCAGAGTTTGTGCAAACTCTGAGTCCACTTCATGCTGCGTCTGCTTGGAGAGTTGGGAGAGGTGTGCTCCCAGCCCCCAGTCCCAGCCATTCCACACGCCCAGGTTCTGCCACACTCGAGTCTTCCACGCTCGCTCCCGCACTCCAGAGAACGTGGGCTCCTCTTGGAAAGCAATGATATCATGAATACCTCAGCTCTGCTTCTCTGTGGGGCGCTTTGGGGAAATTTTGGGAAATATTTGGGACTGGAGAGGCGGCCCCTCCCTAGCGCAATTGCCTACAGATCACACACAGACACACACGCACGCACACACACAAGCACGCACCCCACGCACAGGCATTCTGCACATGCACAGACCCTGAGTCACGCCAATTTGTAAAATAATAGTGATAATACCAGAGATAATCTGGAGCTGGAGCTGAGAGAACTCGAGACCAGAGAATCAAATGAACTGCCTGAGGTAGCATGGCTAGCAAATGGGATCTGCACTGGGATTCGAACCCAAGGTGCCTGGGATTGCATTGTTCTTCTGCTCCAGACCCTCCAAGGGCTTCCCTTAGATTCGAAACCAGACCAGTCTCATCTCTTAAAATGCCTCCCTCACTCTTCCTTCTAGCCCCTGAGGCTGCCCTCTGGTCCTAAGCCGGGTCCTTCACTAGCCATCGGCAAGTAGAAGCAGATGCACCCTCCTGGTGGACAAATTAGAGAAAGGATTTTGTTTCCTGAGCCTTGGTGCCTTTTCATAGTACAACTGAATGTACAAATCCTACCTTATACACGCCAAACGCCCCCCACACACACACACACACACCAACCCCTGCAACACCCAGGCGGCTTTGACATCTGGAAGGAGCTCAGTGCTCATTGGCTGAGGGCAGAAGGGTAGGCACCCCAACTCTGCTACAAGCTGGGCTTGTGCCTGGCCGTGACCCAATCTGAAAGACCCCAGTGAGCCAAAGGATGAGGGAGGCGGAGTGCGCTGAAAACTGAATGAGATCCTCCTGGCCTGGGCTGGCCCCCAGGGGCTCAGTGGTCCTAGAACCTCAGCCTCCACGTAACAATCATGACATCAGAAGGTGTGTGCGTGCTTCTTCCCGTCTTTGCCATCACCAGCCTGGCTGAAGTCTGGATTCCAGACCCCTCCTTCAGGTCACTCTAGTCCCCTCTTGTCTTTGCAAAGCTTTCAGATGTCACCCAAATACCATTGTAAACATCTTCACATGTGTTTTTGCTCAGACCATAGGTCCCCAGCCCAGAGAGGCCTCAGGTCCACTTGATCTGTGCAAGAGGCATCTAACAGGCGTGGGCAGCTCCCAACGGGATCTAACACCCCACCTGGAGAGGCTGGGATTTATGGTTTCCACACCAGGGCCTGAAGATCGTGAGGTACCCTAAGAACTGCATACCCTGTATGAGGGAGGCACAGGGGCACGGACAAACAGCTTTTTGGGTCGGGTGTTCAACAGCGCCACCACGTGGTAGTGATTCTCAGCATTGGCCAATAGGCTGCACAGGAGCGTCATACAATAGCGACACTATGTGGTAATGTCAGGAACAACAGCCTGGCCCAGCCCTACCAATTAAGAAAACCCCAAGGACACTTGGAATAGTGGAACTTTGTGCTCACGTCGGTGTACGAGGACTCAAGAGTACACGCGCTTCAGGCCATGATGGTTACAGCCAGTGAGTGCATTAACGAATGGACAAAAAGCCACACCAGCACACAGAATCCACGGGGGTTGCAGGGGGAACGGGTGTTTTTGTCCAGCCTAAAGTGGTGCCACAGTTCCAGCGGAAATGCCAATGGCTCGAAGGGCTGGGCGGGAAGAGGCATGGAGCGCTGGCACACAGACCTCCTGCCTTTCCAGTGTTCAGTTTCCACTGGCTTGGGTTATTTCTAGAGCTGGGCTCCGGGAATTGAGCAGGGAGCTGGGGGATCAAGGCCAAAGACTAAAGAACCTGAGTGCAGTGGCCCCTCGGGAGCAGCTGCAGAACTCCCTGGCCCTGGGCCCACGGTGATCTCAGGTCAGGTAGATATCCGCTTCAAGGACCAGGAAATTCTAGGGAGAAACGGACACCGTTAGCTGAAATGCACCCTTGCTCCTGGGTTGGGGTTTTAAGATGGGAACCTGTCTGGGATACTCTTGTCTCAATACATAAGGAGAATGATGGATGAGGACACTGTGTCACCTCTGGCCTCCACAGTCCTGTGCACACACACGCGTTCACACACCTGCCTCTGTATACATTCAAACATACAGACAGGCGAGCATGCAAGCCCTACACACATACACATAATAAAAAGAAAAAAACCTTGGGGGGCCTGGCTAAGATGGGGGAGGCAGTAGGACCCAGGGGTGCCGGCAGCGGAGGGTCTGTGTGGCTGCAGTGACAGCTGGAGAACCTGTCAGCAGCTTTCCTGGTAGGTGTTCTCTCGGTAGCCTTGGGGGCCTCTGGGTGTCATCCCTGCCTTGCAGCGGCTCAGAAGACCAGGTTCCAACCAAGGTTGAAAAATTACTCCCTGCCCAGAATGGCCTTCACTGTGTTTCTTAGTGAAGAAATTAAATTCTGCCAAGGGGGTATTTATTTATTTATTTATTTATTTTTAGGGACGACCTTGATAGAATTCAGGTACAAAGATGCGGGGAGACTGTGAACAGATTTCTCTAATCTCCCATCTGTTTTCCAGTCTCATCTCCAGCAGCTCCCTGGACTAAAGAACTGGGATTGACTGACAGCAGGCATTAGGGCAGTGGTTCTCCGCCTTATTAAGGGGTTTTGACCCCTTAATACAGTTCCTCATGTTTTGGTGACCCCCTCCCAACCATAAAGCTGTGTCATAGTGGTCCACGCCTTTAACCCTAGGACTTGAGAGGCAGAGGCAGGCAGATTTCTGAGTTTGAGGTCAGTCTGGTTTACACAGAGAGAGTTCCAAGACAGCCAGGGCTACACAGAGAAATCCTGTCTCAAATAAAAAAACCAAAACAACAACAACAAAAATTGTTTCGTTGTTACTGTATAACTGTAATTTTGCTACGGTCATAAATCTTAATGGAAATGTCTGACACTCAGGATATCTGATATGTGACAGCTGTGAAAGGGTCGTTTGACCCTCAAAGGGGTTACAACCCACAGGTAGAGAACCACCGAGTCAGAGCGAGGAACTTGGAGACAAAGAACTTTCTCGTAAACCGCATGTCTGTCGGAGAGGCAAGCTGTCAATAGAAGTGGGAACTCCATGCCAACGGAGGGCTTCTCTGTGGAGTTTTGGGTTTGTTGGGGGTTTGTAGGGATGAAGGGACTTGGGGTACAGACACTGAGGAAGGGGGGGTCGTCGTGTGCAGCGCAGAGGAAGGCTGGTCCCACGGCTGTGAAGCTGGTGGTACAGAGGCGGCAGCTGAGCTTGAGGAGTTGCCGAGAGTGACCAAGAATGCCAGTAATACGGGGAGAAGGTGCCTGGGAGGAAGGCTGGGCTTGCTAGAGCAGGGAGGAGACAGAACAAGAAAGGGCCAATGAAACAGTGGAGAGAAAGGCCTCAGGAGCCCCAGGAACTTGGAAACTCAGAGGAAAGTATGAAAACCACAGGGTGTCACATATCTGGCAGGACAGTCTTGGAGAGAACTCTATCAAAATGCACAGAGGTTGATGCTTGATGCATCACGTGGCATACACTATGCTTAGGTGATCGTTTTTTTCCTGCTGAAAGACTACACTTCCCAGCTTCCCTTGCAGACTGTGGATGTCATTTCCAACCCTATAGGAGGCTGCATCCTGTCTTCTCCTATAGGCATTTTGGTCCTAACAAGTGCCTGTCGAAGATGCCCCTTAGCTGTGAGTGGACTTGGCCTCACCTCAGATCAGATCAAGCCTCTCCTTCTGCCTTCTCCCCCTCTCTACAGCTGATTCCTAAAATAACCTCACATTAGGCACTTACATGCCAGCCTAAGAGAACCGTGTGTCCACTTGGCGAGTCCATGGTTACGGGAACAAGCAACAATGGTGTAAAAAGTGAGGAGCCTGCTTAGACTGTGGACTTCATTTAATGGCATGCACGTTTTCTAAGTCCCAGCTCCCAGGCTCCTAGGGATGTTTTATGAGTGTGTGTCTGGGGGGGGGGGGGGGCAGGGAGTGGCCCAGAGGAAGCTCAGCGAAGGTGGGTTGCTATTCCTATGGGACTCTTGGGAGCTTACCTGGTAGGACTGAAACAGGAAGTTCTTGAGGTTGACCCCATCGGGCAAGGGAAGAGGGAAGCCTGCATGCAGCCACTCTGCGGTGTGAGACAAGAGAGCGGGGAAGTGAAGCAGCGGCCGGCGCAGGTTCGCCCGCCAGGAAGGAAGGCTGCCCCGGTGTCTGTGCCCTCTGCCTCTTTGTCCTCTACCAGCCCCCAAGCCCAAATACAAATGTGGGCCCTTCTGAAGGCACACATCACTGGACTGAACCACACCCAGGAGGAACCAGGGCCTAGGTAGATGGAGGTACAGGTACCCCCTGCCGTTGGGGTTATCTGTACATGGAGTCCCTCTGTGTTGTGGAGGAAGCTGGGAATGGGCAGTACGTGGGGCGAGCGACTCTCGCACCCCATAAACTCAGGTGGAACTGAGGCAGTCAAGCACAGAGGATAGTTTAGCAGGGTGGCTGCGGTCATCCCTGAGGAACTCCTCAGACATATCTTTCCCATGAAGTAGAACTTGGGTAGGTCAGTGTCTGGGCTGCTGGCGTGAACCCCATACCACCCTGAAAATGTCACTCAGAACACCCCCCCCCCCGCCTCACAGACTGCAGTAAGACAGACGTAAAAGATGCCAGCAGAGTAGGAGCCCAGATGTGTGAGTTCCCTTTGTCCTCTGAACTTTTGGGTCAGATGTCACTTGAGGTCATTTGAGGGCCCCCTCCTCTGCCCTCACAACCCTGGCCAGGAACGGGGACTTGTGGGCAGGCGACCCCCACCTTTGTGACCCAGCATTGAGAACCATTGGTTTCTCCAGAGCTCCTTACCATTGATCTTGGGCAGCACCACTGAGTGCATAAGGGAGTTTATGGCAGTTTCCATTAACTCCACCTGTACATGGGAAGGGTGGGGCTGTGTTAGCACCGTGGCCGCCCTTCACACCTCCTCTCCTTGCTGCGCAGCCCGCCACGGCCTCCCAGCCTGGAGAAGCGCCTGGCGTGGGCACAAGATACATAAGATGTGTGGGAACTGCAAAGTGGGCGGCCAGTAGGGCCACAGGGATACAGATCATCGAGGAAGGTCAGGAGAGGATGAAATGGGGAAGGGGGATTTTCAGGGCTCTTACATAGAGGTCAGCAACAGCCTTGCAAATGAACAGGAACGGTATATGCCTGTGGTTGAGGGGCTGAGGTAGGAAGATCATGAGTCTGAGGTCAACAAAGGCTACTGAGACCATGAGCCTTGGCTCAAAAAAAAAAAAAAAAAAAAAAAAAAAAAGCCGTGTGTGGTGGCACACCCCTTTAACTCCAAATGCAGGTAGAGGGTGGTTCTCTGGGAGTCCGACAGCCTGGCTTACATAGTGGGTTCTTGGCTGGGTTACAATAATAAGACCCTGCCTCAAAAAACAAAATGCAAAGAAAAAGGAGGAAGAAAGGGAGAGAGGGAGGCAGGAAGGCCAGCAAGCCTTTCTTTCAAATGTGTGTTTTTGGGGGCACTGACAGGCCTCACGTATTCATCGTGTTGGGGGGTGGTGAAAAACATGAGGCAAAAGCAAAACCTGAGGAGCAAGAGTGTTCCACAGACACACTCAACACACTCAATAAACTAACGGAACTACTGAGTCTGACAGCAGGGGACTCGCTTGGGGGACGTGGCACTCCCTTGATACCAAGCAGTAGTGGGCAGCCGCCAAACACGTCAAACACGCTGCTGTAGAAATGGAACCATCGGCACAGGGATGGGCCAGGGTGTGAGGGAGGAAAAGGAGGCTCCAGGAACCAGGGAATTCTGAATTCTAATGAAAGAGGCATAGCGAAAAATGTGGGGAGCGTATATGCTAAATCATGAACTGAACGGTGGGAATGCAAATAAGCCTCACTCCTCGTGTTTGCAAAACTGGAGATTCCAGGTTCTCAGTGCTGCGTATGTGTTGTTTGGAAAAAACAAACAACAGGATATATATCCTGCAACCCATTTGCAGGATGCTTGTCCTGAGCAGTGACACTTCAGGCTTGGAAATGTGCATGTTTTGTTCCTGGAGTAAACATGCTTGCTCTCCAAGGCTGCGCTCTCCTGGGCGCCTCAGTCTGGTGCCCTCCTGGTGCCCTACATCTGGAAAAACCCATTTTCTTTTCTTTTCTTTTCTTTCTTTTTTTAATCTTTGTTTCAGGAGCACAAGTTAGTGTTTACCATCCTGAGGCAGCCTGGGCAGGGGATGGATTCTCAGCAGATTAGATGGCATGCTGGCACCATGTGATTTTAGACCTGGGAGCTCCAAGGCCCTCCGTGGGGAGCTTGAGGGGAGTCTACGGGTGAGGGCAGGTGCTTGGGGTTTTGCTGGATGCCCCAAGCCCCAGCCTCAGTGGAGACATGTGCCCTGTGTGAAGGTGCCACCTGTGAACGTGGCCGTGGGCAGGGCTGGGGGAGGAGGGGGAACACTAGAGCAGCCAAATGGCCGGACCTCTTCTGGGTCATTCAAGTCAGTCAGCTACAACCCAAATGCCACCACGATCCCATCCTCCCCCAAAATCTCAAATCAATTTCACCTGAGCCTCCTCCAAACCCTTCCTCAAACCCACCCTCCCTCCTCTGCTTTCTGGCCTCCTCAAACCCCGGTGGCCATACTCTTGAGATCTATGGCTGTTTCTCTACTCCAACCACAGGGCCTTTAGAGTGGCATAAACCACAGTGTCTCGTTCCCCGCTGAGGCCGTTCACTGCTCCTGAACTCCATCTTCCCTCCTCCAATCTACCAAGCTGGCTCTGGGTGATCCAGCCTGGCTGGTTTTCCAGTTAAATCTCCTATGTCCTCTGCTCATTACACACCAGCCACCCTCCTTTCTCACATTCCCTACACATGCCATGATGCTCTGTCAGAGGGCCTCATGCCCCTGCAGTTCCCACTGCTGCTGGCTCCCACTGGTGACAGGCAAAATGTCACCTCCTCAGAGTGGCCTTCCCTGATCTTGCTCCTTCTGCCCCTTTCTTTGAGACCTGGTTTCACAATGTAAACTGGGCTGACCTAGAACTCACTGTGTAGACCAGGCTGGTCTGGAACTCACAGAAATCTGCCTGCCTCTGCTTCTCAAGGGCTGGTATTAGCACTCAGCTTGATCACGTCTTCTAATATGGAGGAACAGGTACTCAGTAACGTAATTAATCTGTCTATTTCACAAACACACTGAGAGGTTCTTTTGTGTGTGTTCTGCCCCAGTGCCCAGTGCACAAGCTCAGGAGAGGGAAGGCTGGGTTGCCAGGGCAAGTGACTGGCCTGAGGCTGCACAGTTGCTAAGGCGAGGACTCCAGCTCAGGTTGCCTGCCCACAGGGCGAAGGGCGAGCTATGAGCAGCTGAGCCAAGAGCTTCTTCAGCAGCCATCAGACTCACCTGAAAGGTGCCAAAGTTGGAGTTCTTCAGTTGCAGCAGCATCCTGTGGAGGAGGGGAGATGAGGTCATCCAGTGGCCTCCGTGGCCAAGAACCTACCCACGGACACTACCCAGGCTTCTGACCCAGTGTGCTTTCTCAGCAGGACTGTGGCTCTCCCTTGGGGAGCCAACCACACCCTAAGCTCCAAGCACAGTCTGCCTTCTTGCAGTGCTGGAAAAAAAAAAAAAAAGTGCTGCCCAGTGGGAGCTAGTCCTCGGCTTCTAGAAACACAGAGACTGTCTCTCTCCTGCCATATGGGAAGCTGCACATGCCTGCAGGGAATGAAGACAGCCCAGGGGACAGCAAAGCCAAGAGGCAGAGTGACTCGGGCTCCCAAGGACAACACTGGGGCATTTGGGCCTGGAGGCCTCAGGCTTGCCAGTTACTTGAGCCTACAGTCCACTCCTTGGAGGCCCAGATGTCACAGTGATCTGAGAGCAAGAGGAAAACACAGGTCTACTAGAGTGGGTGCTTTGCTCCTGTCAGGCTCCAGGAGGCTCCCATCTTACAGGTGAGAGGACCCCACAGAGGTCAGACTATCTACCCAGTGCCGCCTTGTTAATAGTCAGCAGAGCAGGACTCCGGATGGGTCTCTAATACTCTTCAGCCTGTAAAAAGTTGCTCCTGTCCCATCGTCCATCAGGTCAGGAGGCCCCAGTCCCTGCTCTGTGGGGTACCGTCCCTTACCCTGTCTCCAACATACACCAGAGGCTGCGTCCTCTACCATCCCGCGCTTTTATCAGTGCTTCTCACTGTCTCTGCACTCCCCCCTCCTGCCTTGCCCCTCTCTGCCGCTTTGCCTCTCTCAGCTCTTATCCGCTCCCTCCTGGGATGTTGCAAACCTTCCCATACACTTTAACATCCTATTTCCACCTCCACCTTCTTCCTCTTGGCAAGGAAGGCCTCCAGGCTCACTCTACAGCTGGGGAAAAGTGAGGTTCAGAGAGGGTAGCCCTTGCCTGTTACACCCCCAGAATCTCCTAGTCATGCTGGCTGACGGAGTCCCAGGGGGTGACGGAGAGATCAAAGCAGACTCCCCAAGGGCCAACGGCCAGGAATGAGGGACCCTGGGTACAGGAGTGGTTCTGTGGGACTGGACCCTCAGTGGGCATTTCTGTCTGAGCTGGCCCGGGAGCCGCAGTTGGCCCCGGGTGCGTGTCTTCACTAAAGCCAAGGCCACACAGGGGAAACCGGGACGTGTGATCACTTATGTGCGACCCTGGGTGAGCCGCTTGTCTCTGAGCATGAGTTTGGTTTCTCGTCTTGTTTTGCTCGGCAGTGCTGGGGAGAAAACCCAGGGCCCCACACGTGGCAGGCGAGCACGTCTACCATCCCATCACATCTTCAGTCCTTTGCAAAAGCTTTGCCTTGAGACAGGGCCTCACCAAGCCGCGTAGGTGGGCCTCAAGTCTCCTGAGTCACCACCACCCCTGGCTTTCAGCAAATGGGCAGGGCGTGCCCGCTGTATGCCACCTGAGGCTTAGTCAGGTAGACTAAGGTCAGGACCCGGTGCTGAGTGGGGGGGGGGGGAGGCCACCTCTCTCCCGAGGATTCAGGAACATTGCATGCCCCCCTCCCCACAGGCCTACTTACTTGTCTAGCTTAAGCTCTCCGATAAGCCTATTCTCGTCAGCATCCACTTCCAAAGAGGCACTTGTGTTCTGCAAAGCAAGTGATCCAGGTAACTGGCCTGACCTCCAGGCAGGGGAGGGTCAGAGGTCAGCTTCTCAGAGGCCCAGCAGAATGGCCATACCTCTGAGTCATACCCACAGAGCCCAGGAAGCAGGGAGACTGGCCTTGTGGTCCTAAGAGTCCTGGACTGTCAGCCCAGAGTGGGGAGGAGGCCCAGGCTAGGGTCGAGGCTGGCCTTTCCTCACAACACACCCACTGCTTCATTCAAAACTTTCTAAGGAAGAGAAGCACCACCTCGGCTTCATGGCTTACCTATGGCCTTAGGTAATCAAATTAGAAGCCATTTCACCAGCAAAGCGGGCTTCAGCTTGAAAGTGGGCAGACTGGCCACAGGTCTCTAGCACCCCCTGCTGGGAGGGTGCAGACTGACGTAGGCGCTCCACAGGCCTCTAGTGTCCCCTGGTAGCAGAGATTCTGGACACACACAGAGGCCACCAACTATTATGTAGCAACAGGGTGACCCAACCAACGAATACAGATCAACAGTGGGATGAAATTTTTACTGCATTAAGGGTTAAGCAAATTCACAAATGAAGTAATACTCAAAGACACGCATGGACGAATGAGTGATGAATGAAGGCCCAATTGAACAAAGGTTTAGGCAAATGAATCCATGAATAATTGAAAAAGTGATCGGTGCAGGGGCCAGAAAAGGTACAGCATATTTCACATGAGAATGAGTAATTGATTTAATTAACAATTGGCCATAGAGGTGAATGGATGGATGAAAAAATCACACAGGCACATATCTGAATCACCAAAGACAGGCAGCTGGGAACCATTTTCTGCCGTGAGGGAATGGATTGCTGAATGGATGAAAGGACGAGGGATTGACTTCTCCACACTTAAATAGGTGAGTGCACAAGGGCTGGCTGGTGACAAAGGCGTGCCTGTGGGGGTGTGAGCAGGTGAGTGGGCCTCTCTGGGCTCAAGCTGTGGAGTCACAGTATCTGGGCTTGAATCTGGGCCCCCACCCAGCTTACCATGCCAACCAGGAAGAGAGGGACCAGGGAGGAGTTGGGGAGAACCACGAAGGCCTGGGTCTCCATGGTGGGGTAGAACAAGAGGCCGGAGGACTGTATGCTCAGGTGCGGTGGCGAGGCGGCCGAGATCAGCAGCTGCACCTCCATGCTGGGGAATTTCGCTGTCACCTGCGGTTCCCAGTGGGGACAAGTGACAGAGGAGGTCCTTCTTAATTCAAGGTTTCTGAGACCCATCCTGACCCATCGGCACACAGACCCCCTCTGGTGTCTTGCTGCTGTTCTTGGGTGACTGTCAGTCTGGTCCTGCCAGTCTGGCAACACGCCTCCACTGACCTTTACCCACCCCAACCCCTCCCCCGCCCCTTATACAGCATTTCTTCTGATCGCTCTGTGCAATGCACTCCTTGCCGTGGAAAACCCTTCCCACCGTCTGTTTCCCTTCCTTGAATGCTCGTCCACCCATTGTTCCCTGGGCCTGGGAGAGCTCGTTGCCTTCCCTCACAGCTCAGCTCAGCTGTCACTTGGACAAGAAGTACTTAGGAGAGTCTTGACCCTCTCTTCTTTCGGAAAGCCTTGCTCCTCCTCCACCGCCACCCCTGCCCCTGCAATCTCAGTGGAGGTGAGAACAATGACCACATAGAAATTTCTAGACACTATCGTAGGCGGAATGCTTGTGCTCCTTTTCTGTAATTCCTGTGAGAGCAGTGTGTGGCTTTGCTTAGAGATGGGCCTCTACAGGAGTCAGGTTGAATGAGGTCACGAGCGCAGGGCTCTGAGCCGACAGAAAGACATGCCAGGACTTCCCTCTCCCTCCCCTTGTGCTAGTGGCTGGCACACTGTCTTCTCAGAACCCTGATATTGCTCTTTCTGATTACAGGACTCTGAGAAATAAATTTTTGGCTTAAGCCATTCAACCTGCCGAAGAAACCAAGCTCTCCATCTTGTCTACCCACTGGTGTAGCCATCAAAGGCTACAAGAATGGTTTGTTTGCTTAGCTGACTTGTGCATCTGGATGGAAATTTTCTGTCTCCATGAAAGAGGCAGGGAGCAGAGCAATGTGAGGAAGCAGAGAGGGGAGAAGTAGAGAGAGGAGAGGAGGGCAGCAGGGGGGAGGGTTGTGTATATGGGGGTGGGGCAGACGAGATGGAGACAGAGGTGGGGGAAATGACAGGTAGGTAGACTGTTCTGCTGGTCCCAGGCTCAGCAGAGACTGGATAGCTGGGTGAGCTGGGCACCCGGCCTCACCCTCAGGGCATCGATGGAGCACCTAGACTATGCCTGGGCTGGGTATGCTAATCTCCCCTTCTGCTGCCCATAGAGCTGAAGAGGGTCTCATCCCATCAAAATGGTCCAGTCCTCCCCAGCACTCTAGTGAGCTGAGGAAGGTGACAAGTCTTTCCTACCTCGGGCAGGAAGGTCCCAAGGAACTCAGTGTTCAGTTGGAATTTGGTATCCTTTGGCAACTGCAGTGAGGGGAGAAAAGGACATTGGGAGATTGTTGCAGGCTGAGAAGGAGAGCACATGCCAGGCCAGGGGTGAGACACTGAACATCAGTGCCCCCTGGCATCACCGCGGCAATGCCCCCGGGAACTACAACTTGAGTAGCAATAGGTCAGGGAAGGTAGGATGGCCGTGACTGCCATCTGCTGCCAAAGCAATCACAGAACAACAGCCTGCTTCAGTCAGCCTGACTCCATGCTTCCGGTCCATTTACAGCAGCCTGAAACCCCACTCCTCCCCATCCCGTGATGCCCCATTCCTGCTGCCTTTGACTCCCGAGGAACACCAGCCGAGGGCCTCAGTCTCTGAGTCTTCTGAGTAGGAAGCCTGAGCCCCGCTGGGTGATCTGTTTGCTTCCACAGCGGGTAGTGGGCATGCTGCATGCCTTCCCATCCAGAGATGAGAACCTTATGTTTTTGAGGTGTGCTGTACAAGAAAGCCAGGATGTAGGGGACCAGGTTGGGAGGGCTGCACCTCCTAGGCTGTAGAGAAGGAGGTAACTTCACCGTGTACAGACGGGGAAACTGAGGTCCAGAGTGAGTCCAGGAATGCATGTGTGGTAAGAGACAATGAGATCGGGAGGAGATGCTGAGTCAGGGGTAGGAGGGGAGGGACATATGGTGGGGTGTGGCTGCTATGCCCTGAGTCCTGGGCTCCAAGCCTCTCGTGCCATTTGCTCAGCTAGTATTCACAATGGTCTCTGAAGAGGGCACTGGTGTCGGTGGCTTACGGAGGAGCCTGAGGCACACGGATACGTAACTGACTAGGATCCCTCAGTTGGAAACGAGTGTGACCAGCACTTGAACTCGGGGCTCCCTGACTCCTGACCCTCAGAGCACCTCGACCTCCACCCCTGTGAACAAAACTTCCCACCTAGGTCTGCCAGACTCGGAGCCGTTGCTTGTCTGTGCTCACAGACAGCCACACTCACCATTTGGTTCATCAGGGTTATTTTCAAGGTTCCAGACTCGTGGTATGCGAATCCTGCAGTGTTGAAGAAGTAGTCGGAGATGCCCAGGGACACCATGTAGTCATTGCTGGGGTTAAAATCCATTAATGGTGGGGCGGTGGGAGAGGCGCTGCGGTGTTCCCGCCAGAAAAACTCCCCCTGGATGGAAAGAACAGCGGAAGGCCGCATGTCCTTCTAGGATTGCATGCGAGGCCACTAAAAGATGGGAAAGAACCAGCTAGACATGAGCAGGAACTGCCAGTGTGGGGCACCGGGGGCTGCTTTCCAGCCTCCTGGCACAAGGAGGCCACACGTCCAGGCGGTGGTGGAGGCGTCATGCCAGCATCTCCTCCCCACTGCACCTCTCTGCGTCCCTCTTGCCAGTCAGCTCAGCAGCCATCAAAGAACAGTTGCCTCCTTTGTCCCATTAGCAGGATCCGGAAAGCTGAATTGTGTGCGTTTTGGTAATCGCTACATGCTACGGGGAGGACACATGCTCCTTATGTCTCTAAAAAGCCATCTGACAACGTGCAGAGAAAGCAGACTGTTTAGGAAGAAACATAATGGAGAGCTCAGAAAAGCAAATTGTAGATGCATATGGTAGAATACCACTTATGTAAATTTTAAAGAGCATGGAAAGTCTAAACACACACACACACACACACACACACACACACTAAAACCATCATAGTCAGTGCAGCCTGGCGTGGGCAGGAGGCCAGTGAGGAACATGAACCTTTGGTGTCATGCATGCAGACAGGCCCCGCCACTACTGCCCAGCCACAATCATTCTGAATCATTCTGTCCTTTAAAGTTAATGTCCCTGTTGCCCACAGTTTCTTTCTTTCCTTTCCTCTCCCTTCTTTTCTTCCTTCCTTCTTACTGTTTCCCCCCTTCAGCCCCCCTCCTTCTTGAGCCAGGGTCTCTATGTAGCCCTGGCTGGCCTGAAACTTGCTATGTAGGCCAGGCTGAAACCACAGAGATCCCCCTGCCTCTGCCACATGAGCGTTGGGATTAAAGGCGTGCACCTCCACACTCCGATGACTGTGCAGTTTCTAAAGATGGTAGAAATACACATCCTTAGGAGAGAAACGCAAGCAGGGCAGAACCAACCCACCATGTGAAGCAGGTCATCAGCCAAGACCCGACCTGCTTCTTATGTGATGAGTATGTTTCTCTATAGGAACAGGCGAATGGGGAGGTGGGGGGAGGGTGTGTGTGTGTGTGTGTGTATGCCTGTGTATGTTTGTGTGCATTTATGTATGCCCTATGTGTGTGCACTATGTATTTGTGTGTGTGCATGTGTACATACACATGTATTCAGGTGTTTGCATATGTGTGTAGAGTGTTTATACATGCCTGTGTGCCCATGTGTATGTGTAGCTGTGTGCACTGCTTGTGTGTATGTGGGTGAGGGGGCATTCAGCCTCGTCCAGCACCTCTAGAGAGTAGTCACGGTGGACAAAGAGCTGTCGGGATGCAGCTGCCTGCTCTTCCTTCCGGGATCGCTGCGAGGCTTTGTCTGCCCAGAGTTTATTTTTCTTCTATCCCCCACCTGCCCCTGGTATCCCCTCTCTCCAGGTCCCCAGCCCAAAAAATGTTCCCAAGCTTCTTCTCTAGGGAGGACTAGCGACCTGGGCTGCCTGCTCACACTTACCCATCCTGTGACTAACCCTTGTCATTTTTAGTCACTGGTGTGCCATGCCGTTAGATTAAATGGGCCGGGTTCAGTGCCAACTGCAGCTCTGGTTAGCTGCACGGGGCACCCAGAAAGAGTCCAGCTGTCCTGGATGGGGCACTGCAGGGGCCTTACCCTGGTTGTTCACTGGGGGACAGAGCCACCAGTGGCAGGCTGCAGGAGACATTTCGAGGGCGGCCTGGGAGTCGATCCCATTGTGCTCTCCTGGCTCAGTGATGGATGGCAGTGTTCACAACAGGCCAGGAAGCAAGTGCGTGCAGCGTGTGCATTTGCTTCTGTGCTGTGTGGGTTTCTACGCCTCAGCGTGTGCCTGCCGCCTCAGTCTCTCTTTGTGCCTATCTCCCCTTCTCGCCCTCTCTGTGTGTGCTGTAGACAAGGATTGGAGGGCCTGCATCTGTCTTGATAGTGCTTGTTTCTGGGTGGTAGGATCTAGGCCAGTGGTTCCCAGCATGAGGGTTGAGCCCCCCCCCCCCAACAGGGGTCCCATATAGGATATCCTGACTATCAGATACTTACATTACAATTAATAACCATAGCAAAATTATAATTATGAAGTAGCTACAAAATCATTTGTGGGAGTTACCACAACATGAGGGACTATATTAAAGGGTCTTACAGTTAGGAAGGTGAGAACCACTGATTTAGGAAATGTCACTTCTCTTTTTTCCTCTATTGCCTTGCCAACCTTTCCTTTCTTCCTTCCTCCCTCCCTCTGTTCCTCCCTTCTTCCCTTTCCTTCCTTCCTTCCTTCCTTCCTTCTTTCCTTCCCTCCCTCCTTCCTTCCTTCTTTCCTTCCTTCCTTCCCCTTTCCTTTTTCCCTCCCTCCCTCCCTCCTCCCACCCCACAAATTTCCCGAGCTCCTAGCCTGAGCACCTACCTAACATATTTCTATGCACAACTATGTATACAGTCATGAACAAAGCAGTCCCTGCCCCCTCTCCCCATAGTGTGTGCGAGAGAATCAGTTCTGCTGAGATAAAAGCACAGTGGGGGGCTGTATCCCCAAGAGTGGCTGGGGGTGGCATCCCTGGGAAGGCCTATTTGAGCAAGACTGGAAGGAAGCAAGGAGAGCCATGCACCTAAGTGGGCAGAGGGAGAGCAGTGCAAAGGCTCTGGGAGAGGCAGGCACAGTGAATTTCTGGAATCTCGGGGTGGGGGGTGCAGCATGGCTAGAGCAGGAGATGCAGAGAGTGGAGAGCAGGGCAACACAAGCAGGAAGAGGTTGGTTTCCAGGGCTCCGGGATGCACATAAAAGCAGGTCTCCATGGAAGCCTCACCTTTAGCTGCCCCTTCAGGAACTCTGACTCGATTGTCAGAGGTGCCACCAGACTGTAGTCAATCTTGGTTACATCATCCACTCTAGATATCACTAGACACAGAGAAGATGGGCCGTGAGCTGGTTCCAGGGGCAGTAGCTTGCATGGCTTCAAGGAGAACTGAGGTCTCTCTCCATGACCCCTCTAGGGATTCCCTTAAAAGATGTGAAGTGTGGTGATGGAGATTGAGTTGGCACACCCAGTGAGCCAGTGCCACGTTTAGTCCCTAGCCACAAACACATGCACACATGAACAAATGCACCCATGCATGCACCTTCACACAGATAGCAATGGCTCATCTAGGGGCAACATGCTTATCATCCCATCATATGGAAGGCAGAGGCAGGAGGATTGCCTCGAGTCTGAAGACAGCCAGAATGCTGAGAGTTTGAGGCTAGCCTGGACTGCAGAGTGAGATAGGGGGTGGGGAGAGGCTCTTCTTTGGTCCGGCATCAGAGCATGCAGTATGGACCAGCTAGGCATCCGTCTACAAGGGGACAGTCATATCTGGTTGATGAAACCCCAACCGCAGGTGGACACAATTAAGACATATCATACACATGTGTCAAGTTGCCAAAGAATAAAACTAACGCCACTCCGGGATCTGAATTCTTCTGGATGGTTCTGTCCCTGTCTGAGCCTTGGTTTTTCCAGGAGTGAAGTGAGGAGGTTGGAGCGTCCTGAGTTCCTGGAACAGGAGGATGTCCACCAGCAGCAGCTACTGCTCTTTGCTATTTACTGTGTGTAGGGATATTGCCCCCTTTTCAGGGTGTGGAAACTGAGGTAGAGAGAGAAGTGAGCAGCCTCTCGTCTCAGGCTGTGTGTGTCACTGGCCTCAGAGAGCCAGGGTGCCAGAGTGCCAGGGTGAGGGGCTACTGGGGTACGGGGTGCAAGGGTGCTGGGGTGTCCGGTGTTTGCCTTCTGCCTGACTGGGGGAAGGAGCTACCTTCCATCTCACTTCTGGACACACAGGGAACTGGTCCAGCGCCAGCCGTGGTAGAACGCATCCTGCCCCGGTCTTCCCCAGCAGGCTCGGACCTGCTACATCCGCTCTGCTTCTCTTCCACTCCAGGTCTCCCCTTTTATCCCCTCGGCCCGCTGCCAGCCCTCACCTGGGAAAGTGCGCACATAGGGCTGCAGTTTGGAGTACACAGAGTTGTTCACGATCTTGCAGATCTGGGGGCAACCAAAGAAATGTCAGTGAGCTTCGGAAGCGCGAAGTGCCCTCCACGGGTGAGAGTCCAGACGGGCTGCCTTGGTATTTTCTCTGCGGCTTTAGCAAAATACCAGAGACCGAGTAATTTACAGAGAACACAGGCTTCATTTAGCACATGGCTTTTTTTTTAAAGTCCAAGGACAAGGGGGATGGCATATGCTTGGTGTCAGGGGAGAGAGAGAAGCATGGCAAGACAGAGAGGCATGTGGCCGCTTGGGTCCCTCTATCTCTGCCTATAAAGCCACCAAGGCCGTTGTGGGGGCTCATTCAACCCTTATTACTTCCTACCTCTAAACACCACTAACAGATCAACTTGAGGATTAAGTGTCCGGCACATGGACTCTGTGGATACAAATCAAAACCACAATGCAGACTTTCCCTTCCTTCAGTGCCTTCTTAAAAATCATGCTGCCCACCAAGCTCCCTGTTTTCCTTTGGCCACCAGGAAGCTCAGAAACAGTAACTGTACAGACTATATTGCCCACACGCATGCGTTCTGCGTCTTTCCTGCATGTGCTACAGTGTGGTGCTCATTGTTTGTTAGTTGTTTGGCTTTTATTTCTCTCTACCTATCTATCTATCTATCTACCTATCTATCTATCTATCTATCTATCTATCTATCTATCTATCTATCTATCTA